GATATTGAATGGAAGGTTTTAATATTTATTATATTGGAAGTGAAAAGTAGGGTGCTATAGTGTTGAGTGTGTAATGGTTTGATCCTGGGGAAATTCCCATTCTTGAATGTAGCCCTTACTGTTTTTTGTGTCGATTAACAATGATTGTGGATTTATTTCTTCTTTGGGTACCCTGTTTGTGGGAATGTGTTATTAAATCTATTTCACGTATGTGTCAACTGATGTTTGGTTGTAAGTATTTAGCAGTCTGGTCATTCATGTAATTGTATGTGTTTGGTTAGTTTATGGCAAATGTTGAGAATTTCTAAGTTAGCAAAAGTTGGTTTCTTATTTGTATATCCCCCCTTTTTTTTTTTCAATGTCATTCCCTAAGGTAGGTGTCTATGAAAACATACCATTGGTTCTTATGAGAGATCGGCGCTTTAGAAAATTGCAACGGGCAAATCCTTTAATTAATTATTTTTAAAAATTCAAATCCTAAAATCCACTTGTGTCCATTTACTCTCATCTAACACACTCGCACACTTCACATATTAGATATAATTGCCACTTTTTTATTATAATATAGTTACACAAACCAATCATAACATCAAATTTATGAACATGGCTGTGCAGTCATTTATACAGCTGAGAATACAAGAATGTACTGTATTCTAAAATTCCTTTCATGCACTAAGAAGTTTTTTTTTTTTTTGGTAGAATGCTAAAAACTGTCTGGTACAAGATACTTTAAAAGTATTGTCAACTGCATGCAATAAGCAGGTATAAAAGGAAGAATAACAGCAGCACTGACCAGACACAATCATATATATACATATATATAAAAAAATGCCAGTCTTGAAAAGTGGGCCCAGAAACCACATGAAAGGTAATAAGAATGTGATGATTAGGTAAACTGGTACATACGGAAGGTAGATGTGAATTCTGAAGTGCCTGTTCATCCCTCTGGAGAATAATACAAACTTGACTTCAATTATTTCATCATTTTATTAATACAAAGGTTACGGTCAAGTTTCTTTTCAATCACAAATGTGCAACCATGAATATCATCTATCTATGCTCTCACATCAAACATACTTTGTATACTAAATCCACAAAGAAAATTAACCAACAAAATATAAATGAGGCATGAGCTTTATTTGTGACTTACATGAAATTATTAACACAAACTAAGCAAGATTATACTGTATTAAAAAAATATGCAGATACCATTTGATTTTTTTTTTTTTTTTGCTACTGAAGGCAAAACTGGATGGGAACAACATTCATCACAGTTTAAAGTTTTGCTATAATAAATGTAAAAAAAGTTCATCCAATTTTTTAAAGCAAGCAAGCAAGCCTATGACCATCAGGTTTAACAAAAATTATATCTCCATTCTTGCAAGCACACACAAATAAAACTGCTATTGGACTAACAACTGTTAGCCTTTTCTGCTTCAAAGTATATATTCAATGCTTTCAATAAATTAGAAATCAGACAGAAATGTTAGAGCTCTAACCCTTAACTATCAGAAGTCTAGTCCTAACCATGTACATTTAAAAGTAGCCATATACTAAGTCTAGGAGTAGCCTAACATTTAGATTAATTATTGTAAAAAGATAAAGTAATTCTGAATAATGACCGAAAGAAACCTTGGACCCTTCCCCAACTGAATGATCAATTTCTGCTCATATAAAGACCTCTTGAGCAAGGGGCTAGTAACCCTTCCTCCTGTATAAATTACTAAATGTTAAAAGAAAATTTTACAAGGTTTTCTTTTTTTACAAGTCACCCTGGTTCAGTGGGAGATGACCGGTACGTTGAAAAAAATGAAGACCTCTTGCCAGGAGGCAACTATTAACAAAAAACTGGATGTGAAAGCACTTGCTGCCAGTTCCACAGAACATGACTGTGAATATCTTCATACCATACATCAATATATTTTATCTACAAATGGTTGACGAGAAAATGATAATGATGAACATTTTCCCTGATCAATAGTAAATTATTACAGTTCAGGGAAAATATTCATAAAATGCAACATGACCAAGAGATGTGGCTTTGTATATACAAAGCCACATCTCTTGACCAAATTTACCAAACAAACAGTAACCCACCAAGCCTACACCAGACTAGTATACAAGACAAATGCACTTAATGAAATGAAAAACAAAGAAAAATAATAAATGCAGATGAGTTTGGATGCATCAGCAGCAGGAGCAGAAGCAGTAACAGTTGTAGCAGTGGTGTATTTGCCTGGCTGGCACCATCATACTTATTAAACCACCTGATCAATCAAATACTGTACAGGATAGACCCAGCTAATAGGTGTGGTAAAGTGTTTAATAAGTATTACATTAACACACAAAAAAAAAAAAAAACATTAAACTTAAGTGTGTGACGGACATTAATATTCGCAGGTATACTGAAGATGGGGGTCGAAGCCAACAACATTAAAGAATTCAAACAAAAGTATCTCTCTCTCTTGCTCCAATTCAAGAATCACAGCAAAATAAAGCTGTTGTATCATGCCTTCACTAACAGCCATTACTACATTGTGTGCCCTATCTGCAACCATTTTTGGTAAGTAAATGCAGAAAAGAGAAATTACCAACAGAAATTCCTGAGTGGAAGGTGGCAAACCACCTCTCTTAACCCTTTGACTGTCGCAAGCCCTTTTCTGAAACTGTCATTCTATGTTGCCAAATTTTTTTTGGAAAGAAAAGAAAAAAAAAAAAAAGATTTTTCTTATGAAATGATAATCTTTTCCCAATGGTAATGACATCAAAAGTACGAAATTTGGTTGAAAACTCACGTAATTATGCTCCCACGAAGTTAGCGGTCTTGGTGACATATATGCATTGGCGATTTTGCCGACTTTGAGCCCTGGTTTTGGCCAATTCTGCTGTTCCAGTTGACCAAACTCATAGCTATTTCTTTAGAACTCCATTTTTTTCTATCGGTTGAGTACAAGAAACCGCCCATTTACCGATTTGAACTACCCAATAAAGTGGTCAGAAATTGGCAATTTGGCCAATTTCACAGAAATTAAAAAAGATGCCAATTTCAAAATAGGATCCAGAATAAACAATGTAGACATTCTTGGCACTAAAATAACATATCCTCTGTTCATTAGTCATGTCTCTAGGCCCCTCTTATATTACTATTGCTTTCTATTTTGATTTTTTTTTTTCATAGAAAAAATACAAAATTTACTGTTATGCAGACTACTGCATTATTGTAAAAATAGTATAAATAATATCAGTGCACTAGTGAAAGAATATTAGACTCCCCTGTTGACGTGTATCGGATGTGTGGTGTGATTTGCTTACTCCTGAACATTGGTAAAAATCGAACATTTCTGCTACTTTGAGCTCAATTTCAAGGTCATTTTCATTGTGAAACTAATCAAAATCATCTCTATTTCTGTAATATGTTTTCCATTTTATCACGCGAAACCATGAAAACGAGAATACGACGATAAATACTATACGAAAATACACCTCAAATTCGGCATTTTAATTCAAAAAAAGGTCAGTTTTTTTTTCTCATTATGCACTGCATGCTGCAGAATTTTTTTTATGTGGTGCACACTGACCACACAGACCCATTCTCTCACATGTGGGCCTACCAGCTTTCTCCTGCTTGATTTGAAGCCGCTAGAATTTACGCGTATAAATACGTCGGAAACAGTGGCGAGTAAGACGTATATATACAACCAAAATAGTCAAAGGGTTAATGACCTCTAGCATAACAAATGGCAGAGGTCATTGGTGAAGAAGCTTTTGATTCGAGGAATTGTACCTGTCCCTCCTTTCCTCAAATCAAACCTGATCACTACCTATTTCCCTTGGTGCTGTATGGCCCAAGTTTAGTACTACCTTACACCTATCATGAATGTAATAGTAAGTCACAGAGCTGGGGAAGACATTCTGCTGGGAGAGGATGGGAGAGTAGAGATCAAGTATGGGATAGAGAGGCAGGGAATAGGAGAGGGAAGACCAATCTCTCACAAGTATAGCACATGGTTATGAATATTATTTCCCCTTCGAAAATAAGAAACAGATATGAAATATTATTGTCCCAGGTTGCATCTCACATTGTAACATGGATTTCTAAGTAGTGTCATTCACTGAATGAACCTTTTCTCTGGTACCTATCTAGGCTGTTAGGTAAAGGTGAAGAAACAAAACAAGAAAAAGTTGAAAAAGAAAAATAGGAAAAGAAAAAAAGAATAAAAAGGAAAAGAAAAAAGAATAAAAATGAAAAGAAGAAAAAGAAAGACAAAGCAATAGCAGTAGTAGTAGTAACTACAACAACTCAGTGAAATGAGCTAAATAATGACAGGTCACAGATATAAATGTGGTGGTACTAATTAATGTCATTCAATCAAAGGTTAAATGGCTCATCTAAGAGCTGTAGTAAGAAGGAAAAGACTGCCAACAACTTGAGCTACGTGGACATGGATACATTCACTTAGGACATCTTTATTGAAGATGTTTTGGTGCTTGGACCTTTATACAGTAGTACCTCGGTACTAAAACTTAATTTGTTCCAGAAGGCTGTTTGAGTGCTGATCTGCTAGAGTACTGAACAAATTTTTCCCAACCAATTTTCTTTTTGGTTGGCTGTTATCACTAATCTTCTTAGGCCACACGGTGAACAAACACGAAATAATTAACAGTGAAGTTCTGGCAGGTTGTGTTTGGTCAAGTGCCAAGCAAACAGTCGACTGAGCAATTTTTTTTATCGAACAAAGTGTTAGAATACCGAATTGTTCAAGTAGTTAGAGTACTGAGGTTCCACTATATATTTGAAGTAATCAAGGTCCAAAGACTGAGACAATTTCAATAGAGACCTAAGTAAATGCACTCCTGCTCATATTACTCGTGCAGTAAAACTGCGAATGGTCCAAATGTTTCACTTGTATTTCTGCCTTCATTATATTCCTTTTACCTAAAACTCTGACTTAATCAAACAATACTGATAATCTACTGAAGTAAATAATGCAAGTACTTACATCTACGACATCCTGAGAAACATCATTAACAGCATTTTTCTTTACTTGTAAAACAGGCTCCGAGCCCTGTTGCACATTGTTTGTTATCTGAGCTGTAGGTTTGGTTCCTGCAAAAAAGTCATTAAAAACTAAATAAATGCAATCTGAATACTGTACTCCAAACACTGCTAAAAAGACAGCAAACAATGCTAATAATACCAAATGCGGTAACTTCAAAAACGTGAGAGAGCAAGTGTGATGATAACATAACAATGGTCACTAACTGATGCTATGAAAATGGAGGATTTTATTTCCAACCATCTACTTATTATAAAGCAAAGTAAGAGACAACACAAAAGTGAAATTCCTACTTCTCAGAATACCAGAGACTGTGAACAAGCAAAAGCATTTAGTCATGAAGTAACAATGGCCACTACCTGAAGTTATGAAGCATATGAGCTTACCCCTAATTACCCACCCATTACAAAGTAGCAGAGATGGCACACAAGTGAAATTTCTACATATCCTAAAACGAAGTGTCGATGGAGAGGAAGAAATAAGATGGTATTGTCTTCCCATTTACTTACTGTTTTTAAAAAAGGAATGGATCTATTCTTTTAAGTGGTTCATACTTAGCCAGGTAGTTGTGCCTAAGATGGAATGTATGTGGACATCATTTATAGCTTGATTGGCTAAGCCAACCAGACCTGGTTTCCAAGGAGGACATAATACATGGAACTGTTAGCAGGTAAAAGCCTAATAACATGCTTACACTATCATATATTAAGTGAGCAACAGAGCTAGGCCTAAAAAATGCATATACAGTACACACATTACTTTTTTTTATTAATTTATTAACACATCGGCCATCTCCCACCAAGGCAGGGTGGCCAGAAAAAGAAAAACTTTCATCATCATTCACTCCATCACTGTCTTGCCAGAGGTGCACTTACACTACAGTTATAAAACTGCAACATTAACACCCCTCCTTCAGAGTGCAGACACTGTACTTCCCATCTCCAGGACTCATGTCTGGCCTGCTGGTTTCCCTGACTCCCTTTATAAATGTTACCTTGCTCACACTCCAACAGCACATCAAGTCCTAAAAACCATTTGCCTCCCTTCCCCTCCTCTCTAACATGCTCATGCATGCTTGCTGGAAGTCAAAGCCCTTCACACACAAAACCTCCTTTACCCCCTCCCTCCAACCTTTCCTAGGCCGACCCTACCCTGCCTTCCCTTCACTACAGATTTATACACTCTCTAAGTCATTCTATTTTGTTCTGTCCTCTCTAAATGTCTGAACCACCTCAACAACCCCTCCTCAGCCCTCTGGATAATAGTTTTAGTAATCCCGCACCTCTTCCTAATTTCCAAACTATGAATTTTCTGCATTATATTCACACCACACATTGCCCTCAGACATGACATCTCCACTGCCTCCAGCCTTCTCCTTGTTGCAACATTCACCATGTTTCATACCCACATAAGAGCGTTGGTATAACTATACGTACTCTCAAACATTCCCCTCTTTGCTTCCATGAACAAAGTTCTTTGTCTCCATAGATTCCCAAGTGCACCACTCACCTTTTTCCCCCTCATCAATTCTATGACTCACTTCGTCTTTCATAGACCCATCTGCTGACACGTCCACTCCTAAATATCTGAATACACTCACCTCCTCCATACTCTCTCCCTCCAATCTGATATCCAATCTTTCATTACCTAATTTTTTTTGTTATCCTCATCACCTTACTCTTTCCTATATTCACTTTTAATTTTCTTCTTTTACAACCCTGCCAAACTCATCCACCAACCTCTGCAACTTCAGAATCTCTCAAAAGCACAGTGTCATCAGCAAAGTGCAGCTGTAACAACTCTCACTTTGTGTTAGATTCTTTATTTTTTAATTCCACACCTCTTGCCAACACCTGAACATTCACTTCTCTTACAACCCCATCTATAAATGTATTGAAGAACCATGGTGACATCACACATCCTTATCTAAGGCCTACTTTTACTAGAAAATAATCTCCCTTTCTCCTACATACTCTAACCTGAGCCTCACTTTCCTTGTAAAAACTCTTCACTGCTTTCATACATGCATAAAATGATCATTCACAAAGAATGAATGCATTTGGTGAAAAAAAAATTATTTAAGGAAATACACTTGAACAGTATCTCCATGGGGAAGTGGAATTCTTCCATCATAAGGCATGCATGTTGTAAGAGGCTACTAAAATGCCAGAAGCAAGGGGCTAGTAACCTCTTCTCCTGTATAGATTACTAAATTTAAAAACAAAAACTTTTGTTATTTTTCTTTTTAGGTCACTCAGCCTAAATGGGATACAGCCAGTGCATTGAAAAAAAAAATTGAACTATAGTACCTGCATACCTCTGGCAAAACAATGATAGTGAATGATGGCGAGTGTTTCTTTTTTGGGTCACTCTACCTCAGTGGGAGACAGCCAGCATTAAAAAAAAAAAAAAATGAATACCTGCAATAATCGTAACTGCAGGTTCATAAGTAATTAATTGATTTCCAAGGGGCAATATCGCAGATGTGGAATATCATGAGCTAGAAAATCACGAATTAAACCCTACTGTAGGTGTAGTTTTTAATAAAATCATTACAAATCGGAATAATATATCTACAAACTTACTAATAGATGCTAATGAATTAGCAGTTTGAGATGAATCTGTTGTCTGCATACCATTCACTTGGAATCCATAAGTGTTTTTGTACTTGGTAGCACAGGCATAACGGCAGAAGCTACGTAGTGTGTTGTCTGACATGACCATGTGATACTGGGCTTTAGCAATGGCACTGCACATATTGCAAGGTGCAACAGGTGCTTCACTGATCTCGGATGATGCTGTTGTGCTGCTTGCTGTTGTTGATGAAACATCACTGCTATTGCTATTTTTTTTGCTGAAAATATAAAAACAGATATTTGAGCTTATAAAGTTACAAACATACATGAAAATGCTGGTTAATAAATCTATTATTTTGGTTGTAATACAGCAGACTGTCATTTAACACGAGTTCATTTGGCACGATTCAGTTATAGCACGATTGAAGAATTGCGGCACAATTTTATACAACACTTCGTAAAATTAATTTAACGTGGAGAAATAAAATTTCCTTTTCTTCAAGCAGTTGCCTTGTTGTGGATCAGAGGGGAAGATCTCCCACCATCCCCTGCCACCCCCAACACCACCATCCCAGCATATGTATTTCATACATGTCCAGTTCCTCCTCTCTGCTACAAGCTAGCTGTGTTTGTGAATTGTGTTTTGATTTTAATTAGTAGATTGGTAGACAGCAACCACCCAGGGAAGTACTACCGTCCTGCCAGATGACTGTGAAACAAAAACCTGTAACTGTTTTGCATGATGGTAGGATTGCTGGTTTCTTTTTCTGTCTCATAAACACGCTAAGATAACAGGGATATCTTGCTACTCCTACTTACACTTTGGTCACACTTCACAGACACGCACATGCATATATATATATACATACATCTAGGTTTTTCTCCTTTTTCTAAATAGCTCTTGTTCTTTTTTATTTCTTCTATTGTCCATGGGGAAGTGGAAAAGAATCTTTCCTCCGTAAGCCATGCGTGTCGTATGAGGCGACTAAAATGCCGGGAGCAATGGGCTAGTAACCCCTTCTCCTGTATACAATTACTAAAAAAGAGAAGAAGAAAAACTTTATAAAACTGGGTTGCTTAAATGTGCGTGGATGTAGTGCGGATGACAAGAAACAGATGATTGCTGATGTTATGAATGAAAAGAAGTTGGATGTCCTGGCCCTAAGCGAAACAAAGCTGAAGGGGGTAGGAGAGTTTCAGTGGGGGGAAATAAATGGGATTAAATCTGGAGTATCTGAGAGAGTTAGAGCAAAGGAAGGGGTAGCAGTAATGTTAAATGATCAGTTATGGAAGGAGAAAAGAGAATATGAATGTGTAAATTCAAGAATTATGTGGATTAAAGTAAAGGTTGGATGCGAGAAGTGGGTCATAATAAGCGTGTATGCACCTGGAGAAGAGAGGAATGCAGAGGAGAGAGAGAGATTTTGGGAGATGTTAAGTGAATGTATAGGAGCCTTTGAACCAAGTGAGAGAGTAATTGTGGTAGGGGACTTGAATGCTAAAGTAGGAGAAACTTTTAGAGAGGGTGTGGTAGGTAAGTTTGGGGTGCCAGGTGTAAATGATAATGGGAGCCCTTTGATTGAACTTTGTATAGAAAGGGGTTTAGTTATAGGTAATACATATTTTAAGAAAAAGAGGATAAATAAGTATACACGATATGATGTAGGGCGAAATGACAGTAGTTTTGTTGGATTATGTATTGGTAGATAAAAGACTGTTGAGTAGACTTCAGGATGTACATGTTTATAGAGGGGCCACAGATATATCAGATCACTTTCTAGTTGTAGCTACACTGAGAGTAAAAGGTAGATGGGATACAAGGAGAATAGAAGCATCAGGGAAGAGAGAGGTGAAGGTTTATAAACTAAAAGAGGAGGCAGTTAGGGTAAGATATAAACAGCTATTGGAGGATAGATGGGCTAATGAGAGCATAGGCAATGGGGTCGAAGAGGTATGGGGTAGGTTTAAAAATGTAGTGTTAGAGTGTTCAGCAGAAGTTTGTGGTTACAGGAAAGTGGGTGCAGGAGGGAAGAGGAGCGATTGGTGGAATGATGATGTAAAGAGAGTAGTAAGGGAGAAAAAGTTAGCATATGAGAAGTTTTTACAAAGTAGAAGTGATGCAAGGAGGGAAGAGTATATGGAGAAAAAGAGAGAGGTTAAGAGAGTGGTGAAGCAATGTAAAAAGAGAGCAAATGAGAGAGTGGGTGAGATGTTATCAACAAATTTTGTTGAAAATAAGAAAAAGTTTTGGAGTGAGATTAACAAGTTAAGAAAGCCTAGAGAACAAATTGATTTGTCAGTTAAAAATAGGAGAGGAGAGTTATTAAATGGAGAGTTAGAGGTATTGGGAAGATGGAAGGAATATTTGAGGAATTGTTAAATGTTGATGAAGATAGGGAAGCTGTGATTTCGTGTATAGGGCAAGGAGGAATAACATCTTGTAGGAGTGAGGAAGAGCCAGTTGTGAGTGTGGGGGAAGTTCGTGAGGCAGTAGGTAAAATGAAAGGGGGTAAGGCAGCCGGGATTGATGGGATAAAGATAGAAATGTTAAAAGCAGGTGGGGATATAGTTTTGGAGTGGTTGGTGCAATTATTTAATAAATGTATGGAAGAGGGTAAGGTACCTAGGGATTGGCAGAGAGCATGCATAGTTCCTTTGTATAAAGGCAAAGGGGATAAAAGAGAGTGCAAAAACTATAGGGGGATAAGTCTGTTGAGTGTACCTGGTAAAGTGTATGGTAGAGTTATAATTGAAAGAATTAAGAGTAAGACGGAGAATAGGATAGCAGATGAACAAGGAGGCTTTAGGAAAGGTAGGGGGTGTGTGGACCAGGTGTTTACAGTGAAACATATAAGTGAACAGTATTTAGATAAGGCTAAAGAGGTCTTTGTGGCATTTATGGATTTGGAAAAGGCGTATGACAGGGTGGATAGGGGGGCAATGTGGCAGATGTTGCAAGTGTATGGTGTAGGAGGTAGGTTACTGAAAGCAGTGAAGAGTTTTTACGAGGATAGTGAGGCTCAAGTTAGAGTATGTAGGAAAGAGGGAAATTTTTTCCCAGTAAAAGTAGGCCTTAGACAAGGATGTGTGATGTCACCGTGGTTGTTTAATATATTTATAGATGGGGTTGTAAGAGAAGTAAATGCGAGGGTCTTGGCAAGAGGCGTGGAGTTAAAAGATAAAGAATCACACACAAAGTGGGAGTTGTCACAGCTGCTCTTTGCTGATGACACTGTGCTCTTGGGAGATTCTGAAGAGAAGTTGCAGAGATTGGTGGATGAATTTGGTAGGGTGTGCAAAAGAAGAAAATTAAAGGTGAATACAGGAAAGAGTAAGGTTATGAGGATAACAAAAAGATTAGGTGATGAAAGATTGAATATCAGATTGGAGGGAGAGAGTATGGAGGAGGTGAACGTATTCAGATATTTGGGAGTGGACGTGTCAGCGGATGGGTCTATGAAAGATGAGGTGAATCATAGAATTGATGAGGGAAAAAGAGTGAGTGGTGCACTTAGGAGTCTGTGGAGACAAAGAACTTTGTCCTTGGAGGCAAAGAGGGGAATGTATGAGAGTATAGTTTTACCAACGCTCTTATATGGGTGTGAAGCGTGGGTGATGAATGTTGCAGCGAGGAGAAGGCTGGAGGCAGTGGAGATGTCATGTCTGAGGGCAATGTGTGGTGTGAATATAATGCAGAGAATTAGTAGTTTGGAAGTTAGGAGGAGGTGCGGGATTACCAAAACTGTTGTCCAGAGGGCTGAGGAAGGGTTGTTGAGGTGGTTCGGACATGTAGAGAGAATGGAGCGAAACAGAATGACTTCAAGAGTGTATCAGTCTGTAGTGGAAGGAAGGCGGGGTAGGGGTCGGCCTAGGAAGGGTTGGAGGGAGGGGGTAAAGGAGGTTTTGTGTGCGAGGGGCTTGGACTTCCAGCAGGCATGCGTGAGCGTGTTTGATAGGAGTGAATGGAGACAAATGGTTTTTAATACTTGACGTGCTGTTGGAGTGTGAGCAAAGTAACATTTATGAAGGGATTCAGGGAAACCGGCAGGCCGGACTTGAGTTCTGGAGATGGGAAGTACAGTGCCTGCACTCTGAAGGAGGGGTGTTAATGTTGCAGTTTAAAAACTGTAGTGTAAAGCACCCTTCTGGCAAGACAGTGATGGAGTGAATGATGGTGAAAGTTTTTCTTTTTCGGGCCACCCTGCCTTGGTGGGAATCGGCCGGTGTGATAATAAAAAAAATAATAGTATCTGACAAGCAATCATGACAACCAGTAGACATACCAGTGTTGTTGAAAGTGGCAAGAAAAGGTATAAGCATTTAAGTCTTAGAATTAATGAAGAATATTAGAGATATTAGACGAGATAGCCTGTGGCCGTGACTGACTGACTGACTTACTGATTTGAATGACTGAACAACTTGACTGACTTACTGAATGACTGACTGAATGGCTTGACTGAATGATTTGACTGAATGACTTGACTGACTTACTTACTGAATGACTTAAAGTTAAACTTTCTCACTGAAAAGGACCCAGAAACGGTGTCTAGAGCAGCTGATGCCTTACCATCAATTGTATAATGTACTGTAGGTAAAATAGAACAGAAATCCATTACAGAATTTATGCACACTCCGGTACAACCATCGGCTTCAGTACCAGAACCCCTAACCCCTACCATCCACCTCAGCCCAGTAGGGCCACAGCATAACTCTCCACTATCCACACTCATCCACAAACACCAGCACCCACAATTTAAGGTAAGAAATACTATCATTTGTAATCTTATGCAATAAAAACAACATAATACATCACGACAATGAACTTTTTTTTTTCAACAAACCGGCCGTATCCCACTGAGGCAGGGTGGCCCAAAAAGAAAAACAAAAGTTTCTCTTTTTAAATTTAGTAATCTATACAGGAGAAGGGGTTACTAGCCCCTTGCTCCCGGTATTTTAGTCGCCTCTTATAACACGCATGGCTTACGGAGGAAGAATTCTGTTCCACTTCCCCGTGGAGATAAGAGGAAATAAATAAGAATAAGAACTACAAAGAAAATAGAAGAAAACCCAGAGGGTGTGTATATATATGCTTGTACATGTATGTGTAGTGTGACTTAAGTGTAAGTAGAAGAAGCAAGACATACCTGAAATCTTGCATGTTCATAAGACAGGAAAAAGGACACCAGCAATCCTACCATCATGTAAAACAATTACAGGCTTTCGTTTTACACTCACTTGGCAGGACGGTAGTACCTCCTTGGGCGGTTGCTCTCTACCAACCTACTACCTACGACAATGAACTACAATTACATACTCACTTTCATTTTGTAAGATGTGGAGACCTAAAAAAAAAAAACCTTGTTTGGCTTTTTTGGGGCTCCCAGGAACGTAACCCTATTTTTTCCACGAGTTCTTCAGTTCCTTTAACACAGTTTTACCTAACATGGCGTTTTCAGAAACGTAACTATCATGTTAAATGATGGTCTACTGTGCTAAAGGTTAGAAATTCCATTATAACCTACCTACTGATCATTCCAACGTTTCTCCCTCAAGTACAACTTTTAAAAAAAGGCCCTTTCAGAGGGATCTTTTTACACCTGAGCAAGTAATTTCCACACATAAGACTACCATTTTTTTATGTTAATTGAGTGTGTCCCAGGTAGAAACTGCATAAATTTGAAAACTCCTGTCTGAGCACACGAGCAAATGAGCTAGTTAGCAACTTAATAAAATATAAAGCAAACATATAGGGATTTTACAATAAATTTGTTGCTGTAGCCAGTCATATCATGCTCAAGCTCAGACTATGGCTGGGTGTGCAATTCCCAGAATAGGCCCAGTTCTCAGCATTTAAGTGATATTCGTTAATTTCCTAGGTAGTAGGTTGGTAGACAGTATCTGCCCAGGGAGGTACTACCGCCCTGCCAAGTGAGTGTAAAACGAAAGCCTGTAACTGTTTTACATGATGGTAGGATTGCTGGAGTCCATTTTTCTGTTTCATAAACATGCAAGGTTTCAGGTACGTCTTGCTACTTCTACTTACACTTAGGTCACACTACACATACATGTACAAGCATATATATACACACACCCCTCTGGGTGTTCTTCTATTTTCTTACTAGTTCTTGTTCTTGTTTATTTCCTCTTACCTCCATGGGGAAGTGGAACAGAATTCTTCCTCTGTAAGCCATGCGTGTTGTAAGAGGCGACTAAAATGCCAGGAGCAAGGGGTTAGTAGCCCCTTCTCCTGTATATATTACTAAATGTAAAAGGAGAAATTTTCCTTTTTCCTTTTGGGCCACCCCGCCTCGGTGGGATACAGCTTGTATGTTGAAAGAAAGGATTCATTAGTTTCATAGCATTTACCTTCTAACCTTTGTATACAGTCAGCATATATGGGCAATGAAAATGAATAGCTCTAGATACCCAAATGTTGCACTAATGTCTCATTCATCAATTTGTCAGTTTTGTAAACCATTTATTCACATTCCTTATAATTATGATGAATAGTTTCCTGATGACTGTGGCTGTTGGGTGTGCAGTTTCCAGTCATGTCTCTATGTACCTCCTTGCCCTTTCACTTTCCCCACCTGTCTTCCAGACTTCTCACCTTTTCTTGCCCAGGAGAGAATAAAATGTTATCATGAGGTTCCTCTCCTAAGTGGGGGGTTATTTGTGAATTATCATATTTGAACTTGTTGAACAGTCCTCCATAACACTTTAATTAAGCCTTCCAATCTGCTACACAATTTTATTAAACATATAAAGCATACTAACTCAGCCCATCCTTATGGTAACGACCTATGGAGTTGTGTAGCACAGGAAAAATAAAGATGTTATCAAAATCTAAAAATAAAAAAAAAAAGTCAAGATCCTCAGGGCTATCAGCCTTACAAAGGGTCAAAGATACTGGGTCCCAAACAGGAAATGTTCTCAACAACTCAAGTGAGACAGTTTGCCCAACTTAAAAATTACATAATTCATTATTTGGTCATGTCTACGTCCTCTGACAGTTATGAATCAAAGTAAGAAAACAGTTAAAGGAAAAACCTTTACCAATATACATTTCCCTCAGTATTAAATATTTACATATTAAACACACATTAGTATTGTAATAGAGTTGGTAGAATTACCGACAATATGTAAAGTAAAAGGACACAGGTGCAACTAATGTGACATTTTATTGTGGCAACATTTCGCTCTCCATGGCTTGATAAAGCTCCTGGAGAGCGAAACGTTGCCACAATAAAATGTCACATTAGTTGCACTTGTGTCCTTTTACTTTACACATTAGTATTCCACTATCCAGTCTTAACAAAGCTTGAGGCCCCTCTATTCATTTGCATTTCTCCTTACTCTTACAAATGCCCTGTCTGTAGAATTAATTTTCTGCCTGAAAGAGTATAAATTCAGTTATCTATTTTAATACCAAAAAAAGCTTATACAGGCTTGGAAAAGACCTAAAATAGTCTTACTTACCCTGAACTTTGATCATTGGTGTTGAGGCAATTTATTGAACAGTAGAAATAATCTCTAAAATCTTCGTCCACTTGCCGATGAATCATATCAAAGTTATATTTTTTTACCTGTAAAGTAAAGAAGTCTATTAAATACTTGCCTTTCGTATTCAGGAAGTATCCTTCAATTTGTCAGTATAATGGTATCAAACAAGTAACACATCATTGTAGTTTACAGAAATTAAACCTCTGAGCAGTATAAAACAGAAAGAAGCCTAACTGGCCAAGCGTGCTCATGAATACATTACCCTGTAGCATGAAGAGTAACCCCGTTCTCATTGGTTGTTCCTTGTCAACACTCATATAGCAAGGTCACCTGGTGATATTTTCAATTATAGATCTCCCTTGCTTTATGTGGATTTACTTTATGCAAATCTGCTACTAAGTGATGTCTAATTCATATTGACAAGGCTGTATATAAAAACATAAGAAAGAAGGAACACTGCAGCAGGCCTACTGGCCCATGTGAGGCAGATCCAAATCTCCTACCGGCTTAAGCCAATGCCCCAACCTAGTCAGGTCAAGTCACATTCACTGAAGAGAAGGAACATGGCAGCTGACCTAGTAGCACAAGCTAATCAGGTCTGACTCACACCCACTCATGTAATTATCTAACCTATTTTTAAAACTACACAACGTTTTAGCTTCTATAACTGTACTCGGGAGTTTGTTCCACTCATCCACAACTCTTATTACCAAACCAGTGCCTTCCTATATCCTTCCTGAACCTGAATTTTTCCCAACTTAAAACCATTGCTGCGAGTCCTGTCTAGGCTAGATATTTTCAGCACTATTTACATCCCCTTTAGTTATTCCTGTCTTCCATTTATACATAATCATATCCCCCCTAATTCTCTGCCTTTCAAGAGAGTGCAGATTCAGGGCCCTCAGTCTATCCTCACAGAGATTTCTGATACATGGGATCAACTTTGTTATCCTCATTTGTATGTTTTCCTGAGTATTTATATCCATTCTGCAATATGGTGACCAAAACTGCGCAGCATAATCTACACGAGGCCTAGCCAAGGATATATAGAGTTGAAGAACAACCTGAGAATTCCTATTATTTATGCTTCTTGATATGAAGTCAAGGATTCTGTTAGCCTTATTGCGAACACTTATGTACTGTACTGTTGTTTTGGTTTCAGATTACTGCTAACAACTACTCCCAAATCTTTTTGCAATTAGTAGTATTAAGATCTACATTATTTAGTTTATATGTGGCATGGTTATTTTCCTGTCCAATGTTTTGGACTTTGCATTTGTCTATATTAAACTGCATCTGCCACTTCTCCGACCACTGCATCAGTCTATCCAAATCTTCCTGGAGTGCTCTAATACACATTCACCAAATGTGATCTATGCAGTCTGCAAAGCATATTTAAGATTCTTATGAAAAACTGTTCATTGTCTAATTGAGAGAAGCACATGAGAGCCAAGCCTAGAACACACACACACTCCATGAAATGAGGGACATCTGCATAAGAACATAAGACCAAAGGAGCTTACTAGCCCATGTTAGACAGGACCTATTCACACCAAATCTTTCTCAATTACACGTTTGTCTAACATTTTTTTAAAACTACCTTCACCTTCATAATAATTTCCTTTCGATAAATACTGTATATACAATTATGACAAATTTTTTTAACAATAAACCGGCCGTATCCCACCAAGGTGGGTGACCTAAAGAGAAAAACCAAAAGTTTTTCTTTTTAAATTTTTTAACAATTTTATTATTCCTAATTGTATCGAACCTGAATTGTAAAAATGCAAAGTGTGGTGTATGCCCTCTGAAAGATGGGCCAGGATAGCGAGGTTCAGAGAGCCATTTGAATTGTATCAACAAACTTCTGGAAAACAGCTAGGGAATGAGTGATGTTTAATGTGTCTGCTTCTTTGGGTTACCCTACCTTGGTGGGAAATAATGAATGTGTAAAACAATAAAAAAAAGATGTGTGATAAATTTGGGAGTGGACGTATTTGGAAGTGGACATACTGGCAGATGGGTCTATGAAGGACAAGGTCAACCACAGAATAGATGAAAGGAAGAAGGGGGTGTTGAAGCACATGTGGAAAAAAATTTATCTATGAAGGCAAAAAGGGAAATGTACCCGAGTTTAGTGGTACCCACACTTTTATAAGGGCATAAGACATAGGCTTTAAGGAGGAGGCTGGAGGCAGTGGAGATGTCATGTTTGAGAGCAATGGGTGGTGTAAATAAACCATACCACGGGCAGGGATAGAACCCGCGATCGCGGGGTCTATCCCCGCCCGTGGTATGGTTTGTTCGCAATCGTGTCATTACGATTTCGTGAGTCATGGTGGTGTGAATACTATGCATAGAATTCTAAGCATAGAATTTTGAAGATACAGTGGGGATACCAAATGTATAATTGAGAGGACTGAGAAAGGCTTGTTGAGATGGTCTGAGCATTTAAAGAGGATGGAGCAAAACACAATGGCCAAGAGGATGTATAAAGCCGAGAAAGAAGGAGGGTTAGAGATCATACATACATAAAATAATTAACTACCCATACAATAAATAATGACTTACCTTACAAGTATCACAAACAACAATTTTTCGGGCTGAGAGGATAAAAACGTTAACGCAGGAATCCGAACAGAAGACTCTTAGTTGATGCCCACCATGATAAAGATAATGAGAGACATCCTCAGCATTCAATACCCGGAAGCATAAGCAACAGGCAACTGAAATGAAAAATCTTTGTTAAAATGCAAAATGTAAACAAATTTACATTCTCCTCAAGGAATTGTGTACTACATTTTAATGATAAGCAAATAAATATCATGACTGAAATATACTAATCAGTTTCACCATACCATATGCTATTAAAAAAAAAATCACATTTTTCAATACTGTACTGCATTTAAATCCTAATACTGTACTGTATTCAGAGGTTTACAGTATGCAGCTGAAAATAATAGAGGCACACTTAAAAGATGAAATTCAAAAAGTTGAGAGTGAATAACCAATCCACATTTTACGGTATTAAATTTCTTACAATTCCCAATGTAAACTACCTGGAAAATAATTGTAATTTTCAAGGATCATTTTGTACTTACCAGCTTTCACCTTGTTGACATATTTGTAAACATTGAGACAGGGGTCAGAGCATAGTTGATAGGGCTCTTGGCTTGATATAAACTCATATCGATTCAATCCAGATGCTTGACAAACAGTACACGGATGCCGTTCGTTATAATTTTGCTGACCAATGTCCCTTCTTTGTGCACGTTTAAGACATTTCATACTGCAGTATTCCTGAACAGAAAATAGTAGAATAACCCTAATATATTCTTATCCATCATCATTGCATTATTAAACTGCATTACTGCCTCTACTTGCAACGATATACAGAGCCGAATTAAGATTTTGTAGGCCCCTGGGATACAAGTACCGTGAGAAGGGGCCCCCAGTGATATTTTCAAATGGAAAAATATTCATCACAACAGTTCATCATATAAGTGACATAATAACATACTATAATTATTAACTTGAAACTTTTATTTTCCTTCTTGGGCCACCCTGCCTTGGTTGGATACGGCTGGTTTGTTGCAAGAAGAATTATCAACTTACAGGAGTAACTGTGAACACTTTTCACTTTATCTCTGGAGGCCCTCCAGCTGGCAGAGGCCTGTGGGCTGCAGCCACTAAAATCCTAATAATGTACTGTACTGCATATGGACAGGGCCTTAATCCGGCCCTGACCATGTACCACAAAGTTTTCGAAAGTATCACTTCTTCATAAATAAATAAAAAAAAAAAAGCATGGTACCTATGTCCAATTTCAAGTAATTTTTACGTTGTTCTCCAAAACAGTCCATTTCATGAAATGGCTTCAATACAGGATAAAAATTGAAAAGCCTAATCTGTGGAATATTGCCACAAAAAATCCTTATGAAAAACTTAGTATCTAGATGCAAACAAATAATAAACTAATAATAAAAAGTATATTTAAGAAGATAAATACGTATATCCGTATGGTCAACACTGGTGTCAAGACATGTAGATCTATGTGGGAGACAGTAAAAGATTTAAGTTCCCTACTGGTGGTGCATGTCCACAATGTAATTTTTATTTGAGTTTGTAAGAAGGGATATGTGCCATCATATTTATCCTTGAGTTTGTATGGCACTGACTCCCATGCTATCATTTCTCCTAATATCATTATGGCTCATTTGGATGTGTATTATTCTGTGCATGCACAGAAAGACATGAACAGGAATAAAAACTCTGTACTTTGATACTTACTTTATTTGCCACTGAAGACACTTTTTGTACTTTTTCAAGATTTTTTTGGCAGTAACAACAAACTTTGATCTTCGTTTTATATCTCTCCAAGCATGTATTGGAGCAGAACTGATGAATATCTGAGCCGAACCGTACACAGTACTTCCCAATAAACATGGCTCTCACTTTTTCCTCGCACGTGTGACATTCTCCAGCTACTTCGTTGAGATGCTGAGCTGTTGAATACAAATTTTTCAATTACACTTCAACAGTGCCTTTAGGAGAAAAGAATTCCGCAAGAGCTTCAATGAGAACAGCCAGAATTTTAGTAATGTATAATGGCCTCCCTGGCATTACATAAGGTATGCATTCTGGGAAGACTGTGAAAAGCAAATCTGTGCAAAGTATGTTTGTTCACATAGTATTGGGAAAAAGGAAAGAGGTGTATTCAAGTTTTCCCTTAACCCAGAACTATAATGTTTTATGCTATATATATGAGCAACAAAAATCATGAGCACTACAGAAAATAACTTAATTCATGTATGCACAGTAATTATAAAATACTGTTTATTAAAATGATATTTTTGAAGATATTATACATATTAATTCCTGTTTTCTGTCAATTTTTCTGGGGAATTACAACCTGTTAAGAAGCAAAGAGAAAAGTAAATGTATGTGTATATTAAATGTAAGTGGAAGTTTGTAAGATTTACCCATCATGTTCAGGAAAGAAAAAAACTGCACCAATTATGTGAGTGGACAAAATACAACATATTTTTATTTCACACTCATTTGACAGGACAGTTGTACCTCCCTGGACAGTTACTGTCTACCAACCTACTTCTACATATGTGACTGTAGAACAAAGATTAAAACAAACTAAGAAAATACATTTTAAATTAGTACTTCAAGCTAGCTGAAAAGAAAAGCCACATGGAAAACAGTAAATAAGGAAATCCTTACACAGTAAGTTAACAGAAAAATAGGGAGAGTGGTATATTCATCAATAAGTGCTAAGGATTATCTGTCCTTTATTAAATATAGTTACCCTTTTGTGGGAACAATAATTTTAGGTTAAAGGAACCAACCAACGTTCTCGAAAAGGTCTTAATGAATATTGTCTTAAGTCATTAGACACACGAGAAACTCAGAGCATAAGTGCATGATACAGTTTCTAAGTTACTTGAATGACTGAAAACCTAATTTTAACTGTTTTACATACATGCACTGGTCTCAGACCGTTCCACGGGGGCACTGGCCCCTGAAACCCTCTCCAGATATACAAGATGAGTTATTGATATATACACACTACCAAATAGACTATTCATAAGTAACAATTTATATACATGGGTATTTTCCTTGAATGAGTGCTGTAAGGTAAATGAATCTTCCTCTTGCATTAACTAAAACTTTTATACAGCATTTTGTGAATATATGTACAGTACTTACATGTTAAGCACAACAAAAATGAAATGACTTACTCAAACATGATTTTGTGCAAAACTCCCTGGTTTCCCACGAGTACTGCCCACTACGAGAAATGTTTGCCAAGTCTTTCCCACACATTCCACACATCTTTTCAAATATTAGGCGAGGTTTCTCTACCACATGATCGGTTGGAAGGGATGAGGTCCACTGTGTTCGACATTCTGTGCTACAGAGGTATGCCCAAGATCCGCTTACATTCTTCTTAGCAATACGAAATTCACACTGCACACTCTGTGGATATGGATATATAAATCTTTAAATAAATTCATAACAGACTGTGGTTTAAAGAATACTATGTTAACATGAGGATAAACCTTCAGATGACCATGCTTCAACAATGAAAACATGAAATACACTTTAGCATTACATAGTGCATATTTGTGAGGCACAAAATGTAGATATAAAATAAGGCTGAGATAACTCCCTAAACATTTTCTACCAAGCAGGAATAATCCAAAGAGCATACATGCACCATCACTAGCCCTCTGGTTGCAATTCCAAATAGGCACAAACACCACTGTCTAATTTTGACATTCTCACCCCTTATAAATAAAGGATAAGATAAGGTAGTGTGCCTACTTAAAGCTAGCTGATATTCCTAAATAGCTTTATTGGCAGTCCTTTGCCACACTCAAATGTTACATCAAATTACATGGACCACTTACCTCTACTCTTTCCAATAAAACATGCTGACATTCACCTAATGAACATTAGCCCCCACCTCTCAACACCTCTTACACACCCTCTATTCAACCCTTCCTTGGATGTTCCCTACACCACCATCCACTCAGGAAGGGGGAAGAGAATAAACTTACGAGAAACATATTATATGGGAGGGAGACTGGGTAGCATCTAGTGGCATCTGGCCACCAGCTGTCTGTTGCCAAACTCAAGTTTCTATGTTAAATTAATATTTATACTATTTATTATCAAAGAAATAGCTTACCATAAAAGTCCTTCATAGTTATATATGAGCAGAAAGCAAGTCCTCTTATTTCCAGATTGACAGGTAGTGACAAAGTTATTCTTCTGCACACCCTCCCCATTCCCCTCAATGCATTTTAATATTTATATAAAAAGCTTTTAACATGAAACCAGTAAAATGCTCAAGCAATATTTAGTACATCATAAATGAATATACTACATGAAGCAGTTTAGTTACATACCTTTGTGCAGAAAATACAATCCCTATTTACAGTTAGAATACTTCGCAATATGTGAAACACATGTTTCGGTGTTGTTGCTGCTTCATCAGTGGCCCCAGTGTCTTTAGCAATTTCCTGTTGATTACAAAAAAATTAATATTTTAAATGCTAAATAGCACTAAACAAATCAATTTCTGTATGTAATATGCCCATTAGAGCCAGATGGATTAAAGTTGTTATGGTCATGTTTACATTCACTAGTGTGACAGCAGAAATATTTAGCTTATCAGATCAAATGGTAATTCCAGGATAATTATGCAAATGTATAGCTGCAGTAAAGATTTTAATAAAATGTCAGTTGAGAGGGAGGAAATTATTTTCATAAATATGAATAATTTGAATCATGGAAGGAATATGGCTAATATTATAGTGAAGCAGCAAGTGTGTTGCATTGCTAATATATAACAGTATCATGAGCAGTTCAAAATAAGCAGTAAGGTGACACAGATTGCACTACAACAAATGTGAATGCCTTTAGGAACCAGACAAGATCCTGCAAGAGATGGCTGACAAGCCAAGATGTGATGGTTATGCGAGCCTGCAAGCCAATAAACTACTTGATCTGGACATCACCAGAGAACCCTGGCTAAAGGCCAAGTTACAATAGCACAAAAAATTTCATAACTGGTCACAGGTATACAGGTACAATGGACATGTATACAGTAATTTGTTGTTTTCAAATAGCAGCCAAAACAACTCCCACTCTCAATAAAATATAGCATTCACTTCACATACAACACAGTCTTAAACACATTAAAACAATCATGGTAACATCCCACAATCTTAACTAAGATCCAGAAACATTTTCTTATTTCCTATACAGCATATTCTTCTCACAAACCTTCCTTACAGCTATCAAAAATTTACCACCTATTCTATACATATGCAATACCTGCTTCATTAGTTTATTTAGGCACAGGTCCACATATGTACAATTATCATAGTGTAAATTACCTAAGATAACCCAAAAATATCACAGTGACTTATTTCCACTGGGGTCCCATCTATCCTTTATCACACATTTTTTTATAAATCCCTAAATGTGACAGACACACTTCATATGTATAATATACTGTATATACAAACTTTTTTTTTAAGGAGGAGCATGAGAAAAGCATAGTGAGAAATCTATCTGCCTGCAAAACCACAACCAGATCCTGCAATCCTACAGATTCTGACAGCCTGTTCACCTCAACAGCCCTACTTCCCCAAAATTACTGTACACCCTATTAACACATCATCAACAACACCCCTCCCCAAATAACATTCCTACTGAACATTTGAATCATAATTGCAAGATCCAGGGTTTGATTCCTTGGCACGGAAAAATGTGTTAAAGATTCCTTACACCCCTGTTGTATGTGCCTACCTGACAGTAAAAAAGGTACCTGTGTGTTAACCAACTGTTATAGGTCCCATCTAGCAGCAAAATGTGTCAGAAAACAACAATCCTTCTGGAATGTCATATCCCATAACAAAACACTCCAGTCCTGTGTAAGAAAATTTCAGAACTTGCTGAAAGTCTTCAAGTGTGTTGGTTAAAAAGCATATCTGTACATAGTTAATTAAAAAAGAGAAGGATATCTAAATCCCTAACTCTACAATTTCCATACAATCTACAAATCACTCAACACCTTCAATCCCCTCCTCCCAACATTCCTGTCCTTTATCATCCTAAAATACTATCATATCCCCGAGTCGCTTCAACTCCCAAAATTCACCACATTATATCATAATCACCCACACTGTTAAGATTTCATTCAATGTATGAAACAGAAAATAAGTTTACCGACTTTAACACAATGTCAAAAAGCACAAAATCCATTATCTAGGAGAGGGCTACTCAACTACTATGACCAAAAGTCCACTTCGACCAATGTATGCAAAGGCCCGGATATATTTTTTACATGCAATCTTGAAAAGCAACATGAATATGAATTACCATTAAATGGAGGAAAATATAACTACATGTATTTAGTTATGCTAGAATACTGTATTCCATTCAGACAGAATAATGTATTAATCCCGCTTTTGTGTACTACCTGATCGTGAACACGGTAACAGCTGTTATTTAACTAAGTTTTCTCCTGAAGCCCACAGTCCAACTAGAACACTCAGAAGATCCAGATTCGGACCATGGGCCGCTAACTGAGTAGCCCTGGTCTAGGAATACTGAAAAAGCAATAAAAAAAAAAGAAGGAAAAACTTACCGAAACAGCACTGCTTAGACGAATTACTGGGGTTGTTGATTTAGAAGATTTTTCTGCATCTTTCCCACTACCATCTTTTGATGCAAGACTTTCAGCGTTAATAATCTGGATTCCTCCTGTGGCTGATTCTTCTGTCGTCTCCTTTTGGGAATCAACAGTGGAATTGTTAGGCTTGTCGGCACTGCTGGCTTCAGTCTCCACCGATGCTTCTGTATTACTAGAGCTTCCTTTTTCAGCACTTTCATTATCTACAGGTTTGGTACTGTTTTCATCTTTGCTTTGATTGGGATCTTCTGGACTCATGGGATCCATAAGTGTCGTTACTGATGATATCTGGATGTTGGAAAATGAGTCCCGGTCTTCATCCATCGTTAGGCCAGTTATACAGTCTTCTCCTCCTACAACATTTGAGATTCGCAACTGTAACCCTCCCATTTCATCTGATCCTATTATAACACCATGTTCAACTATCTCTCCAATTGCTGGAGCATCTGAGTATGACGCAGAGACATGTGATGGGTCATTAGAAGTATCGACTAAAGAAGCCAAAGACCTAAGTTTAATTCTTTTGCTATTTCCATCTGCACTAGACTCTTCATTACATTTATCATTAGCTTCATCCTGTTTATTATCAGTATCATCATCATTAGCTAAATCTACAACCACTGCTGGCTTTTTGAACACTGGAACTTCTACAATGTCCTCTTCAACATCAGGTTTTTTTCTTTTAGCATTACCATTTTTACCTCTGCAACTACTCACACTTTCATCTTGCTTATCTACCTCCATTATATCACATTCATCGTCAACTTTGTCCTTCTCGGATGCACTGGTACCAGAGGTACTTTCTGAAGAGCAGCTAATAACATTAACAGTGCCTTCTTTTTCCAACACATCAGTGCTTTCAGTATGTCCAGACTGCCGCTTCTCGAGCGGACACACAGCAGTGTCCACAGCAGAATCTGATGACTTGCTGTCATCATCAACTTCCTGATACCTCTCTGCAACACTGCCTGAACTGGTTGAGCTATCACTTTGATTCAATTCCTTAATTTCACTGTCCTTATCAGAATCATTATTTTCATCATCTGGCAATGGTGGATTATCATTTTCACTCAGGGGATCCATTGTATTACTTGAATCTTCTTTGTCCCCAGTATTAGCATCAGTAATAATATTAACTTCTTCAGCAGCATCAAAATTTGCAGAACTATCTGCTTCAGCAGTATTTGACTCTGCAGGATTATCTACTTCAGCAGTATTTAATTCTGAAGAACTATCTACTTCAGCAGTATTTAGTTCTGCTGAATTATTTATTTCAGCAGTAGTTAATTCTGCAGAACTGTCTACTTTAGCAGTATTTACTTCTTCAGTAGTGCCTACTGCTTCAGCAGTACTTATGTCTTCAGTAGTATCTATGGCTTCAGCAGTATTTACATTTTTAGTAGTATCTACTGCTTCAGCAGTATTTGCATCTTTAGTAGTATCTAGTGCTTCAGCAGTACTTATTGCTTCAGTAGTATCTAGTGCTTCAGCAGTATTTACTTCAGTAGTATCTACTTCTTCAGCAGTATTTACTTTAGTAGTATTTATTTTGGTAGTATCTACTTCAACAGTACCTACCTCTTCAGTAGTATTTACTTTAGTAGTATCTACTTCTTCAGTATCTACTTCTTCAGTATCTACTTCTTCAGTATCTACTTCTTCAGTATCTACCTCTTCAGTAATATCTTCTACTTCAGCAGTATTTTCTTCTTCAGTAGCATCAATTTTTTCAGCAGTATTTACTACTACTGTAGCATTCACTTCTTCAGCAATGTTTACTTCTTTATTGGTACTCGCTTCTTCTGCTGTAGCAACTTCAGTAGTATTTACTTCAGCAGTATTTACTACTTCAACAGTTTTTACTTCTTCGGGAGTATTTACTTCTTCGGCAGCATTTACTTCTTCAGAAGAATTTACTTCTTCAGCAGTATTTACTTCCGCAGAATTTCCTTCTTCAGCAGTATTTACTTCTTCAGCAGTATTTACTTCTTCAGCAGTATTTACTTCTTCAGCAGTATTTACTTCTTCAGCAGTATTTACTTCTTCAGCAGTATTTACTTCTTCAGCAGTATTTACTTCTTCAGCAGTATTCACTTTTTCGGCAGTATTTACTTCTTCGGCAGTACTTACTTCTTTGGCAGTATTTATTTCTTCAGCAGTATTTATTCCTTTGACAGTATTTACTGCTTCAGTAGTACTTATTTCATCAAGAGCACTTACTTCATCAAAATTTATTTCTTCAGAAATCATAGCTTCATCATTATTTACTTGTTTAGGATTATTCACTTCTGAAGAAGCCTCTTCTTCTGCAGCACTATTTATTTTTTCCACACAATTCACTACTTCAGCAGTTCTTACTTTTGCAGCACTGTCGTCATTCAGTGTTAAGGAATCCTTTATATAGCTCTGAAAGCTGTCTGCTTCCAAACCTATTTTTTCATCAACTTTCTTACTTGCAACATCCTCCTCTATGTCACTGACAATGATCTTTGATTTACTGTGGTTCTCTTCAGACATTCCTCCACAAAGATCAACTTCCATTTTATCTGTTAGACTATCAGCCATGATAAATTCTTCCTGAAGCAAGATCTGTGGATGCAAAATAAGAAAATTAATTAATTTAATGAAATGATTACATGGTAACAGAACAAATACAGGAGGGCTCTACTTTAGTGTTTCACTAATATGGTCATTTCAAGTTATATCCAAAAATTCGTTTATACAACTGATTTGCTATAATTACCAGAGCTCTTGGCCGAGTGTCCGCATGGCATTCTTTCTCTCAATGTGCTTACATCCTCCAAGAGCTCCACATTCCTCGATTATGTATGGAAACTTTCCAAAGTTTCAAGTGTTTTAAAGTTACTGCGCATTTTATATATCTCTTTGTGTTACAATGGCATCTAAGGGTAGTTGTGATAAAATGAGAAGTCATAAGGCTCTTACTTTAAGTGCAAAGTTAGAAATTATTTAACTCAGTGAGCAAGTTATCTCATATATTATGTTATTATGAACATTTTCATTAATCCATCTATGACATTTTCTCAAAATTATGAAAGAAACATGTCATATATTATATAAATATAATACATACAGACATACTAGAACAAATTGACAGTTGTTAGGTGTGGTAGCCATTTGGTTTGTAGAAGTGTACAGCAAGAAATATGAGATGTTCTCTTGTCCACAACCACCAGAGAAACTGTGTATATTACTGGGGTAACTGTTGAAAATCACTCTTCTCGTATGCTTTCACTCATAAATAGTGTCACTTGCTTTCAAAAGAATATGTTGCAAGAGACTGGGAGTGTTTCTGCCATACAGGCTACTGCATTAATGTGAAGACAACTTGTACACACTAGGTAGTAGGTTGGTAGACAGCAACCGCCCAGGGAGGTACTACCGTCCTGCCAAGTGAGTGTAAAACGAAAGCCTGTAATTGTTTTGCATGATGGTAGGATTGCTGGTGTCCTTTTTTCTGTCTCATGAACATGCAAGATTTCAGGTACGTCTTGCTACTTCTACTTACACTTAGGTCACACTACACATACATGTACAAGCGTATATATACATTCCCCTCTGGGTTTTCTTCTATTTTCTTTCTAGTTCTTGTTCTTGTTTATTTCCTCTTATCTCCATGGGGAAGTGGAACAGGATTCTTCCTCCGTAAGCCATGCGTGTTGTAAGAGGCGACTAAAATGCTGGGAGCAAGGGGCTAGTAACCCCTTCTCCTGTATATATTACTAAATTTGAAAGGAGAAACTTTCGTTTTTCCTTTTGGGCCACCCCGCCTCGGTGGGATACGGCCGGTGTGTTGAAAGAAAGAACTAGTACACAATGTAAGGTGTTTGTATGGTGGGGAAAACGCTTCACAAATGCATGCATAACGTCAGATGAACACGTATCAATGGCCAGTGGACACGCATTAGTGTTCATCTGACTGCCCACCACCCGTCCACTCAAGACAAAAGCCTGGGTATGTTGCTGTGAGCTCTGCATCCCTCTCGTTCTGTCTGGAAATTTTCCAGATAGAATGAGTGTTTTAGAGTTATTATGTATATTATATATACTATTTTTGTTACTATGGAATCTAAGGGTAGTTGTAAGAGGAGGAGTCACAAGGCTCTTACTTTAAATGCAAAGTTAGAAATGCTTAAATTCAGTGAGCAAGGTAAGTCGATATCTGAGATAGGATGTAATTATTTAGGATGATGATGCCCTCTAGGACATTCACTGGAAAAGAAGAGAAATCAATGCCTGGCTTCACAGCTGCAAAAGACAGGCTAACACTCTTGACTTTCTACAATAAATACATACTACTAACCTCTCACCATACATTAAGGCTGAAAATATTTTAAGGTAAGTAATGAGTGTACTGTACATGCATTTTACTTTATTGTTATTTTTTAGGCGAAGTTTTATTGCTAACTCAATACATACATGATAGAGCAAACATGTTATCAGGCATTTATATGCATTTTCTTTTAACACATCGGCCATTTCTCACCACACTTTCATCATCATTCACTCCATCACTGGCTTGCATCACTTATATGCATTTAAAAGTGAAAAAAAAGAGTGATTCACTTTACAGTGATTTTCACTTTACTAAGGTAGCCTGGAACCTAACCTGCCATATAATCAGGGCCCTCCTGTAATAAAAGTTATTTCTAGGATTAACTAACACAAGATAATACAACAAATGTTAATTAGGAACTAGACAGACTATTAAGTAGGCCTTCTTGCATAGTTAACTACAGTCATAAATACAATAAGAAAGGTAGCTAATAACAAATGGACACTTGGAAAAATATATTTCAAACTGATTCAATGATCTTCAGTTTTGTGGAGTGATTGAATAGAGATTTTGAGAATACAGTAAGCATAACTTAATACGGCTACCAATTTTCTACTTCATTGGTCTGCCATTAGTATTTCTCTCTAAATTTTCCTGTTAGTTAAAATTAAATCAGTTAACTGGATTCTTTCTTTGTCTTCAACATTTTGACCATCCATTAAATGGAAGAGCTAAGGCTCATAATTTAGTTCATTAACCTTGCAATTGTTCTTTGATAGTCAGGATTTCTCTTTGCTTACCTTTACTGCTAAGAATGTCAAGGGGAATGGGATCTGACAGCCTTTTGTCTCATTCTAATGGCTTTGGTTACTCTTACATCATGGATATTCATCACCTTGCAACACAATTCCAGAAATCAATTATCCTCCTCCTCCCTGCAGATCTGTTGCCTTTAGTCACACTTTCCCTGGAAATTAAAAATAACTATGGTAATTTTCTATTATAAAACCCTTTGAATTAACTCCTGTTATATCACCAATAATTTACTGAACATGGGACATCATAAGCATAGCTGTTCAAATAGCTAAAAATAAGAATTAACAATAGCTTCGGAGGAATTAAACAATAGCTTCAGCTATTAACCACTATTATTTTCTTCAATGGGCTTGTTCCAAGACAGATCATAATTTTTTTTTTTAATTTAACCATTACATCTCAGATTTTGATTAAAAATTGGTAAACTGGATAATCTCACATACCAAAGTCACTGGTGTGAATAAAAAATCTTATACCTTACAGTTTTTGAGTTATGGGGGACGAAAATTAGGGAAATGTTTTATACATGCATGATACATCATAGAATGATGAAATAAAACAGAGAAGACCAGTCAATATAATCCTTTATTTTAGACACCTATGAGAATACATTCTACACGAAGCACACTTTACAAAATACGTATACTCTTTTTTTTTTAACTTTTTCTAGCAACATATTAAGTAAGTTTATTCAGGCATACACAAATACAGTTACATAGATTATCATACATGGCAGAGTATGTGTAGAGAACCAAGAATAACCCCAAAAGTCAGACAAAGTGACTTATTTCCATATTCATGTACAGTTTTGTCATGTAAGAGCTCCTTGGAATGTCAATTTCTTGAGATGCATAAAGAATTTAAGCGCTCTTCAGTCACGGTAAACCAAAATTTGTTCTTTATAAAGGACAGCTTTGAAAAATTCCTTTCTGCTTCACAGCTTGTGATAGACATTATCAAGAACAGGTTAAACAAAGTAGTAATATTGGGAACACTTCAGTTAGGTGTTGCTCATAAATAAGCTGAAGAACTTCTGCACATTGCATTTTAGATGGTGTGTTTTCTTTTGTGTTCCAGGGGCCCCTCCGAGATTAGGGACCCCTGTGCCTTAAGCTTAAGTTCATAGCAGATTTGCCCCTGGCCCAGACAGACATAGAACACAGGAGCCCAGACAGACATAGAACACAGAAGCCCAGACATAGAACACAGAAGCCCAGACAGACATAGAACACAGAAGCCCAGACAGACATAGAACACAGGAGCCCAGACAGACATAGAACACAGAAGCCCAGACATAGAACACAGAAGCCCAGACAGACATAGAACACAGAAGCCCAGACATAGAACACAGAAGCACAGACAGACATAGAACACAGAAGCCCAGACAGACATAGAACACAGGAGCCCAGACAGACATAGAACACAGGAGCCCAGACAGACATAGAACACAGGAGCCCAGACAGACATAGAACACAGGAGCCCAGACAGATATAAAACACAGGAGCCCAGACAGACATAGAACACAGGAGCCCAGACAGACATAGAACACAGGAGCAGAAGCATACACGAGCCAGACAGACATAGAACACAGGAGCCCAGACGAATAGAACACAGGAGCCCAGACAGACATAGAACACAGAGCCCAGACAGACATAGAACACAGGAGCCCAGACAGACATAGAACACAGGAGCCCAGACAGATATAAAACACAGGAGCCCAGACAGACATAGAACACAGGAGCCCAGACAGACATAGAACACAGGAGCCCAGACAGACATAGAACACAGGAGCCCAGACAGACATAGAACACAGGAGCCCAGACAGACATAGAACACAGGAGCCCAGACAGACATAGAACACAGGAGCCCAGACAGACATAGAACACAGGAGCCCAGACAGACATAGAACACAGGAGCCCAGACAGACATAGAACACAGGAGCCCAGACAGATATAAAACACAGGAGCCCAGACAGACATAGAACACAGGAGCCCAGACAGACATAGAACACAGGAGCCCAGACAGACATAGAACACAGGAGCCCAGACAGACATAGAACACAGGAGCCCAGACAGACATAGAACACAGGAGCCCAGACAGACATAGAACACAGGAGCCCAGACAGACATAGAACACAGGAGCCCAGACAGACATAGAACACAGGAGCCCAGACAGACATAGAACACAGGAGCCCAGACAGACATAGAACACAGGAGCCCTGAAAGATACAAAACAAAAGTTCAGACAGAGTACAGGATCCCAACAAAGCACAAGAACCAAGACAGACTCTCAAACAATGACACACACAAGCCCAGACAAAGAGCACTGGAGCCTAGGAAAACAAGAGCACAGAAACCCAGACAAAACAAGAGCTCCAATACACAACCCAGTCCAAACAGACAAGACATAATAAAAAGGATCCACATAAAACACAAGCCCAGACACACAGTGAGCAAGTCCAGACAGTACACAAGTTCACAGACAATACACAAACCCAGACGGACAGTGCACAAGCATAGACAGACAGCAGAGAAGCCCAGACAGACAATAGGGAAGCCCAGACAGCAGAGAAGCCCAGACAGACAATAGGGAAGCCCAGACAGCAGAGAAGCCCAGACAGACAGCAGAGAAGCCCAGACAGACAGTAGAGAAGCCCAGACAGGAGAGAAGCCCAGAACAGCAGACACAGACACCACACAACACAGACCACAAACTTCCCAGACACCCCCCCTCAAAACACACACACACACACACAGCCACCAGACAGACACGAGGACAACCCCCCCTTAGACACACACACACAGGGGGTGGCCCCCCAGGGGGGGGGACGCTAAACAGTGCCTGGCGTCACTAAATAACAATGGTGTTGCCAGCAAGCCTCCACCCGGGGATGTTTCTCCCACCTCCTCCCTAACAACCCTAACTACCCGGCAGGACGACCACTGGTGTGCTACCCACCTTCACACCTGACACCCGGGGATGAGGAGGCTACAGGCTCGGGAGACCAGGCTACCACAGCTTCGTTTTGGCGGCCATAACACAAGCCCACACGACACACTAGTGCTACTGCGGCCCCATTGGCCACCAATACTCACGTCATTTCACCGCCAAATTCAAAAATTACTCCATTAATCTATGTATGTAGTTTTTTTTTTATTTTATCCGTGATGGGTATTACGTTAGGATTGCATGGGGGGGTTGTAATGAGTGAATTAGGGGGTTTATGGGGTGAATTTTTCAGTTTAGTGGTTGGTGTTAATTGGTGATTTATGCCTTAATTTGGTTGATATTAAGCGAGTTGTAGGCATAGTTTCATTCTGTGGAATTCGCAAGAAAGGAAACTGAACGTAAAATAATCTAGAGTAACTTAACCTTACTCTGCCAGCGGGTGATAGGAGAATGGTGATATTTTTTTTTTACATTCAACGCTTTGTTTACCTTCACTGTCATTGGCCAGTTACTGTACACCACTCTAATACTAGCCGCTGATTGGCCCTGACTTGGCATTCCATCCAAAACATATGTTTTAATTTTGCGAATATCTCCCTTAAAAAAAAATAACAATTTGCACAAGCAATGACAATTTTTGCGAGAGCATTACATAACTTGCTGGAATTAAAAAAAAAATACAGTAAAGGCTGAATTCAAACCAGTCCTTAAATTAAATATATGCCCTCTTATATTATCTCTAATCCCCTTCCTTACATCTCTCATTATCTCTCATCCCCCCAGGCACTGTAAGACTCTTCTAGATTTAGTTCTTAATACCAAAATACTGTCCAAAATACTGTGTATCCCCTGATCTTTCTGATTATTGAATGTTTTGTATATGCAGTGATTTGAATTACAGAATTTGGACCTCGCATGGATCAGTAGGCCTTCTTCTGTGTTCCTTCTTTCTTATCTTATTACTGAGGCCTGGTCAAGGACTGGGTCTTGGGGGGGGGGGCGTTGACCCTAGGAATACCCTCCAGGTAGACTCCTCCAGGTACACCTTCATTAGGTCGTTAATAAGCAAGTCAGTTGGTACAGGTACACATAAATAGTTACATAAATTATCAGACATAGCAGCATATGTGTAAATTATCTAGGATAACCTCCCAAAAAAGTCAGACAAAAATGGCTTATTTCCATTAGGATCCATGTAATATATTATTATATAAAGCCTACCTGTAAGGTACGGTAGATAGAGAGGGGAAATGTTGATTTTTTCCTGTAGAAAAGGAAAAAATCAACATTTCCTCTCTTAATTTGAAAGGATATCAAATATCAGTATTATACATGAAAGGCAGATTCATTTTCAAGTTATAGATGGTGAGAGAGGATAGTAGTGAGTTTATAAGGATAGTTAGAGGGTAATTACTAGCGTGGGGAGACTGTTAAAAGTCGTTTTATATCTGGTCTTAGGAAACTCTGCGTTAAAAGGCCCCTTTGCTACCACTGGAAATACGAAGGATACCAGTGGAAATAAGTCCCTTTGACCTTTTTTGGGGGGTTATCTTAGATAAGTTACATATATGTTTCTAGGTATTATAATTGTACTTATGAAGACCTATACCTAAATAAACTTACTTATTTTCTTACATGGAACCTAATGGAAATAAGTCGCTTTGACTTTTGGGTGGAACTGTGCCTAAATAAACTTACTTACTTACTTACTTACTTCCTTACTTATTAACTTGCTTACTTTCTTACTTATTAATAATTCCTGATAATTGTAGTGGTAGTGGCCACGAGGGAGAGAAACAAGAGAACATCGCCGTCACTACAACACCGTAAACATGGCTATGTCCAAGTCCACAAACACCTATAATAGGCAGAACTGGGAAGACTCGGTACGTTTGCTCTCCTATTACACCCAGTTCCCGGTTATAGGCAGCACCGAGGGCATATAGGAGGTGGGAATGTACTGTTAAATGTGTGATGATGGGGGTAATGGAGGGTGTTTGGGTAGGCTGACTTGGCTATGGGTGTGGATTTTTTTATTTATTTATTTTTAAACGGGTATGTTGGTCAAATTATCAGTTCTAGGTGGACATTTATAAGTCTTTAACACCTGGTGAATGTCTGTATTAATATGTAGTTTGTGATAACTTAGTAAATCATATTACAGCGGTTTTGTGTGTGTGACTTTGCCGTGGAAAATATTTGCTATGTTATATGTAAGAAAATTTTGGATTATTAATCAGGAGGTTTAGCAAGTTAGGATAACCCAATAAAGTTAGGGTGTCATGAAGGACTGCCCTATTTCCATGGGGGGTTCTGTAATCTTCCCCGGGATGGGACCCACACCAGTCAACTATCACCCAGGTACCTACTTACTGCTAAGTGAACAGGGACAGCAGGTATAAGGCGACTAATGCCCAGGTACCTACTTATTGCTAGGTGAACAAGGACAGCAGGTGCAAGGTGACTAATGCACAGGTACCTACTTACTGCTAGGTGAATAAGGACAGCAGGTGTAAGGTGACTAATGCACAGGTACCTACTTACTGCTAGGTGAACAAGGACAGCAAGTGTTAAGAAACGTATCCAGTATTTTCACTCGTGATGGGGATCGAACCCTGGTCCCTGAGTGTGTAAGCTGAGGCCACTAACAAGTGAGTCTGGGATAACTATAAAGTCAAGCAATGTGACCTATTTCCATTGGGGTCTTTCTTTCTTTCTTTGTTGGGTTTATTAGGGCCACTGACAGCATAAGCCGTATCGAGCCCGGTTTCTTGATGGTACGAGGAAAAGTTGTTGCCCAAGGCTGGGCGATGAGAGAAAAGGAACAGAAGTTCCTTTGTAGATAGAGATAGAAACTTGAAGTTTCCAATTAGATCTGGTGGACCCCTCTTGCCAAGTCCCAGCAAAGAGGGATGCCTACACTCCCTCCTGAGTTCAGTAACCGGCTTCCCACCAAAGTCCGATAAAGAATTTTCTGCAGAGCGGAAAAAATGGAGCTGGCTAAAAGTAAGCCGATGAACAGGTGCCCCTCCTGTAGAGTGCCCAGCGGGCAAAATAGATGAGGACAAGTGTCCTAGAGAGAACAGTGGAAATTTGTCACTGATACACAGGCGAGAGAGAGATGTCCACACCCAATGAAGGCTGGCGCAGAAGTCCTTCCATTGGGGTCTATGTTACTTTACGTAGGCATGTATGTACATGCCGTCAGCGATACAAAAAAATAATATATTAGATCAATAAATCATCTGTGAACATTTTAACAAAACTTTTTTCCATGGGGAGTTTTATTTTTTACATAACCCATGTAGTTTTGTTTTGCAATTGAGTGGATGGTGTGCATGTATGGTATATTATATGGCATATTATGTATTGTATATATCACATGTATCATGCATTTTGTGTGCCCTATTCCCCTCATTTTATGCAAATTCACTATTATAATATATTATATCCATTTCTGTTGGTAATTCTGTGTATGTGGTATACATTCATTATATACAAGTGGTGTGGTTCACAAGATGTACAGTATTGAATATTCTTATCATGCAGGTATTGATGACCTGCTTAACTTTAGTACAGCTGCCATAGGCCTAGAGTTTACTTGCTGCATAAAGTGAGGGGGGAGTACCTGAATATTCTTATTAATTTGACATTACTTTCACATTCTCATATTTTTATATTTTTTTATTGCATAGCATCTTTCATCACATTCGCATTAAATTCTTCAGGTTTTCGTAATAAATTTTATTCTTCAGGATTTCCCAATCCTATGTCAAACATGCCTTGGAGATAATCCTTATGTTAGGATGATGCGAGATCGATATGGGAAGGAATGCAAGATTTGCACGCGCCCCTTCACTGTCTTTAGGTGGTGAGTGTAATCTTTCAGCATTTTTGGCCTCAACTCAATGGGTATATTGTACTATGTCTTGGGTAAATTTCTGTTGAAAATAAATCTCAGCTTAGTGTACAATATAAGATGTAAAGGGTTAAAAACAAATTGGAAAAATGTGTATATACTGTACTCAAGTTTTGCAGTTAGTGAAGTGGTAGATAACAGATGTTCACTTGTATAATTAGGCAGCAATTCCAGTGAAACTTCAATTTAAAGAACTTACAGGGAAAAGGGGATGTCTGTTAATGCTGATTATCTGTTAAATCCAAAAGCTGAGATAGTTTTTCCTTGATTGTAACAATATCTGAAAATTTTGAATTTATCAGATTATGCCTAGTAAATCCACAATTTATTTACCCAGCAGACTGTAGCAATAATGGATGATTCTGGATTTAACAAATTTTGTTTGTTGTTTCCAGTCATTGTCTGGCCACAGAGTATGTTAAATTTGAAATTAGTTAAGTCATTATCACTTAAATCAAGATTTTACTGCACATGTAGGTGGAAACATAATAGCAGTTTTGGTAAGTGTTATAAGCTGTTATTGAGTATTACCTGTGATGCTAATGATGTACAGGATGCCTAGAAAGTCCTGATTTAAAAATATACTCGATTTTTAACACACCAGCCATTACCTACCAAGGTAGGGTGGCCACATTCCCCAGAAAAAAAAGAGGAAGCTCATTCCCCACCAGAAAAGTGCCCCAACCAAAGTTCATATACCCTCTGAACTGCAACATCCTCATCCTCCTCCAGAGGCAAACACTGAACTTCCTGCCTCCAGGACTCAAGTTTGGCTAACCAGATTACCTGAACCCCTTCATGAATGTTACTTTGCTTACACTTCTTCAACACCTCAAGTCATAAAAAAAAACTTTTCTCCACTGATCTAATGCACTAACACAAGCCTGTTGGATATTGAAGTCCATATCATTAAGACCTTTATCCCATCCCTCAATCTTTTCCTGGGCTAACCCCTTACCGCTCTTTACTTCCACCCCAGATTTATATATTGTTTTAGTCATCTTATGCTGTTCCAACTTTCACACCATCTTTTAGTCTCTATTTTGAGTTCTCTACATAATATCCACATCATACATCATCCTCAACCTTGAAATCTCTACTGCCTCTAACCCGTAAATGGTCCAAACGTATATATACGTTTTTACTGCTAGTGCCCCAAACGTATATGTACGTTTTATTTGTCATACATTCAACATTGCCACGATAAGCCTGAGTCATCTAGACATGAGAGAATGGGTGTACGCACTCACTGTGTGCCATATTAAAATAATTGGGGATGCCTGGGTACCATATGCTCTTTTTTCCTATTAAAAAAAAAATTTTTTCTCAAAATTTGGGGCACTACGGGAGAGAACGTATATATACGTTTGGACCATTTATGGGTTAACCACCTCCTCGCTGCAACATTTAAAGCCCAAGCTTGACACCCGTATAACAGTATTGGTACCACTATGCTCCGGTACATTCCCCATTTAGTCTCCTTGGATAGAGTTTTGTTTCTCCAGATGCCTCAGTGCACCACCCACCCTTTTTCTCCCCTCTTCTATTCTGTGGTTCACCTTGGTTTGCCCAATTGCTGACAGGTCCACTTATAAATATTTGAATACATTTACTTCCTCTAAACTTTCTCCCTCCAATCTAATATCCAGTCTTTTATTGCTTAGACAGTTTTTGTTGCTCTCATCATTTTGCTTCTTCCAGTGCTCACTTTTAATTTCATTCTTTTATTGCCTAGACAGTTTTTGTTGCTCTCATCATTTTGCTTCTTCCAGTGCTCACTTTTAATTTCATTCTTTTTATAAACACACACAAATTCATCCTGACCAGCCGGGCTGTGGCTCGTACGTTGGATTGCGTGCAACCAGCAGCAACAGCCTGGTTGATCAGGCTCTGATCCACCAGGAGGCCTGGTCACAGACTGGGCCATGGGGGCGTTGACCCCTGGAACTCTCTCCAGGTAAACTCCAGGTAAACTAGCCTTTGCAGCTTCCCTTCAGAATTTCCCCAGAGAACCATGTCATTAGCAAAGAGTAACTGTGACAACTCCCGCTTTTTATCAAATTCGTTACCTTTTAATCCCACACTTCTACCCAATACCCAATATCGTGTAAATGTTAAACTTTAAAACAACATCAAAGATGGTTGACACAAATCCACTACCATTATAGTATGCTCCTCACTTAGCGATGAATTCGTTTCCAGACGTGGTCTTAGGAACGGAACTCTGTCGTTAAGTGAGGAGAGGCTGTATACTATTAGTTCAACCATCATGTGCAGTAAATTGAAACTGGAAAATTATTTTGTGGATATTGGCTTTTGTGGATGCCCTGTACTTATTTAATATGGCTGTGTAATATATAATACACAACAGAAACCCCACTGGCATCTTGAAAACCCTTTCTTTCTTTAAAATAAGTTAGAAAGTCAAAAGAAGGTGCCAGAGTAATATTGTGAATTCCAAAGTTAGATGATTATACATATCTGACTATTTCACCTCACCTACAACACATACACCTACCATCCAACTTACGACTGAGCTTGGTTCCGACTAACTGGTCGTAAGTCAAAATAGATGTAAGTCGAACCTTACTACTGAATATCAGCATCACATTAAGTAATGATTTTATTTTATTGTTTTATTTTGGTATTTCATTTTTTACTTTACTTTTTATGCTGTTAGTACTGTATTTTATACTATAAGGTTTAGGAGAAACACTGTAAAACACAAGCAGTTGTTTATTTCCCAGAACATTTGTATACAAAACATGGTCGTAAGTCTAGTTGTCGTATGTCGAGCAGGTTGTAAGCCGGATGGTAGGTGTATTGTTATCATGACTCACGAACTGGTAATGACATAATTGCAAACAAACCACACCATGGGCGGGGATTGAACTCTCGATGAGTTTTACGACTCGCTCACCGTGAGTTCAATCCCTCCTGTGGTATGGTTTATATTCTGTTCTTTGATCACACTGGTAATAGGTTAGTGGACAGCAATCACCAAAGACGTATTGTACTACTGTTCTTTCGTATGAACATGAAATAAAAACTTGTTAAATGTATTATGCTTGAAGAATTGCTGGTCTTTTTTTCTCTTATGAACTTGTAAGGTGGCAAGTAAATCGTACATGCATATACTTACTGTACATTCAGTAAGTATTTATGGCACGTACCTTTACTTTCCTGTGTGTTTAATTATTATGCATGTAATATTTAATTTCTTATTTAGGAGGCTTTGTCTTAGGCCAGGACACAATGTCAGTGATCTGGGAACTATTATCGGATATGTTATTGTGTGCATGCGTGAGAGAGAGAGAGAGAGAGAGAGAGAGAGAGAGAGAGAGAGAAGAGAGAGAGAGAGAGAGAGAATGAGAGAGAGAGAGAATGAGAGAGAGGAGAGAAGAATGAAGAGAGAGAGAGAGAGAGAGAATGAGAGAGAGAGAGAGAGAGAAGATAGAGAGAGAGATGAGAGAAGAGAGAGAATGAGAGAGAGAGAATGAGAGAGAGAGAGAATGAGAGAGAGAGAGAGAATGAGAGAGAGAGAGAGAAGAGAAGAAGAGAGAGAGAGATGAGAATGAGAGAGAGAGAAGAGAGAGAGAGATGAGAGAGAGAGAGAGAATGAGAGAGAGAGAGAATGAGAGAGAGAGAGAGAGAGAGAGAGAGAGAGAGAGAGAGAGAGAGAGAGAGAGAGAGAGAGAGAGAGAGAGAGAGATGAGAGAGAGAGAGATAGAGAGAGAGAGAATGAGAGAGAGAGAGAATGAATGAATGAATAAATATGTTGCTTGAATAATAGTTCAGTACATAAAGGTGTGGAGGTCATGAGGATTGAAAGTAAGGAGGAAAGCTATTTTATTTGACATTTTATTTATTTATTTTTTTTTGGGGGGGGAGGGATTATTGTAAGCAGTGATGAAAATAACCAAGAAATATTTTCAGGTGCCCTGGTGCAAGAATGCGATTCAAAAAGACTGAGGTATGCCAGACCTGTGCCAAGATAAAGAATGTTTGCCAGACCTGCCTGCTAGATCTGGAGTATGGTCTTCCAACACAGGCAAGTTTATTGTAATCTTTAGTAAAAAAAAATTTTGATATATAAATTCTGTAATTTAGTGAAAGATTTTTTCATATTTATAAATAATCTTTATATATGTTAACCCCTTGACTGTCGCAACCCCCAATCCTGAGGTGTCTCCTGGTGTCGCAAAATTTAAAAAAAAAAAATATTTTTTCTTATGAAATGATAGAGAATCTTTTCCCGATTGTAATGACACCAAAAAAAAACGAAATTTGATGGAAAACTGACTGAATTACTCTCTCGCGAAGTTAGCGACCTTGGCGATATTTACAAATTGGCGATTTTTGCCCACTTTGAGCCCTATTTTTGGCTAATTCTATTGTTCCAGTCGACCAAACTCGTAACTATTTCTTTAGAACTCCGATTTTTCTATCGATTGAGTACAAGAAACTGCTCATTTACTGATTTCAACTACCCAATAACGTGGTCAGAAATTTGCAATTTGGCCAATTTCACGAAAATTAAAAAATATGACAATTTCAAAATAAGGTTCAGAATGAACAATGCAGACATTCCTGGCTCTAAAATAACATTTTCTTTGTTCATCAGTCATGTCTCGAGGCCCCTCAGATATTACTCTTGCTTTCTATTTTGAATTTTTATTCAAACAAAAAATAGAAGATTTACTGTTATGCAGACTACTGCAATATTGTAATAATTGTACAAATAATGTCAACCCATTCATGACTGCATATTAGAATAGCTAGTTGGACATTTATTGGACAATGACATCATTTGTTTACTTTTGAACATCGGCAAAAATCAAACATTTCCCCTACTTTGAGCTCCATTTCCAGGTTCTTTTTATAGTAAAACCAATCAAAATCACCTCTGTTTCTATAATATGTTTTCCATTCTATCAAATGAGACCAAGAAAACGAGAATACAACCATAAATACTATACGAAAATAGACCACAAATTCGGCATTTTAATTAAAAAAACGGTCTGAGTTTCTTTCTTCTCATTGTGCACTGCGTGCTCCAGGATTTTTTTATATGGTGCGCACTGACCACACACACCCATTCTCTCACATGTGGGCCTACCAGCTTTCTCCTGCTTGATTTGAAGCTGCTAGAATTTGAGTATTTATCACTGATTACATCATTGCTTAGTTAATCTTAAGTTAATTTTAAGCCTGCCCATAATGCTATGCATACAAGTGGCTTTGGCATGCTGCTCTTACCTGTATTTTTTTGTACCTCTGTATTTTCAAATTATTAAATAAATAAATAAATACGTCAAACAGGGTACCTCGTACGACGTATATATAAGACCAAAACAGTCAAAGGGTTAATAGGATGTCAAGTTTATTGTTTTTTTCCTAATTAATTCAGCCACTCCTATTTTCTCTTAAAAAATTTTCCCATACTCGAATTTATTCCCATTTTTTCCTGCATGCATCTTGCAACCACTGTGTCATTGTGTTTGTACACTCCATTTTGCTTTTGTAATTATTTGTGAAAAACTAGAAATGTGTAATAATAGCTGTTTTTGTGCACTATTATTACTTTTTTTTTTTTTCAACAAGTTGGCCGTCTCCCACCGAGGCAGGGTGACCCAAAAAGAAAGAAAATCCCCCAAAAAGAAAATACTTTCATCATCATTCAACACTTTCACCTCACTCACACATAATCACTGTTTTTGCAGAGGTGCTCAGAACACAACAGTTTAGAAGCATATACATATAAAGATACACAACATATCCCTCCAAACTGTTAAAAGTATCAAATAACTGTGTAATGAATGTTACATTGTGGAGTGGAATGGCAAAGTGAGGTGATAGAAGGCCATTAGAAAAATATAATTTTCTATCTCATTCCTTTTTGTATTATAAAAGTCCTATTTTATTCCTGTTTGTTATTTGCTCCAAGTCCTAGTTTTGTATTTTTGTAGGGTAATCTCATATTTGACACCCTCTGTTAGATATATAAAAATTTTTGCATTTGGAGCATTCAAGAATGACAGTGCAGGTCCACATCCCTTTATCTGAAACCCTTGGGGCCAGTAGCGTTTAATATTTCAGAATTTTTCTAATTTCAGAATGAAGGTGGGGTCTAGGGCAGCATCCCATAATCAAACATTAACATTACAGCTAAAACATATGAATACTCACACTAAGTGGGATAAATAAATAACTACAAATACATCTATGGTTTATTTATAGGGTAATATATTGATAAATGAAATAATGGGACAATTATAGACCAGGAATATGATTCTCGAGACAATTCTCAAGTTGATTGACAGACAGCGTTTTTAAAGATTTCTTCAAGTGTCATCTGTCTTATTAACATAAGTTTCTGCCTAAGAAATCTCTCTGAGATACAAAAAAAGGCACAGTACCGTGACTGGAACAACACATAGACAACCCGCACATAGAAGAGAGGAGCTTACGATGACGTTTCGGTCTGACTTGGATCATTTACAAAGTCACAGAGTTACAAAGTGTGACTTTGTAAATGGTTCAAGTTAGACCGAAACGTCGTCGTAAGCTCCTCTCTTCCATGTGCGGGTTGTGTGGAATCTCTGAGTAAATTGCCATCATCGCTTTCTCACTGATAAATGTACGTTGTTCAAGGCCAGCAATTAACTGATCACACATTTTCACCATATTGTCTATGGGGACTTTTTCACCTGTGTTCACAATGTCTTCATCATCATCACTACTATTCACATGCTTATTTATATGTAACACCATTTCAGCAATTTCACCATCACTCAAGGAATGCGCAGCAGGTGCATCATTGTCATTGTTCAGCATTTCTTCGATGTCAGCTTCCTGTAACTTATTTACACTTTCGTCCGATAAACTTTAAGCGTAAGTTACGAGGTTTGATATCGTCTTCTTCTCATCAGTGACACAAAATCCTTCAAATTCTTCAGCTGTAGGTTCATTTACATAAAACATCATTTTAGGCCAAAATCTGTTCCAAGCATTTGTTAATGTCGATTTATCAACATCCTTCCAAGCATTAACAACTGCATAAATGGCATCCTTAACACTGAACTCTTTCAGGAAGTCTTGGATTCCTACTCCTCTGTTGACTGCAACAAGCATACAGTTTAAAAAATAGTCTTTATACAGCAGATGCACGTGTGAACACTACAAGCGCTGAGACGCAACTGACGCCTGCCACTCTGGCTGTTAGTGCTGGGTCACGCTGCCACTTGGCAGCATTGGAGTTATGTTGAGATGACTGACACTCCACGTAAAAACTTCAGTTTTCGGAACATTTCGAATTTCAGAATTTCGGATAAAGGGATGTGGACCTTGTGCTTGCTTTTTCTCGGTTAAAAAATACTCTTCCTTGGGAGAAACAACATACGCTCAGTTCTCTGATTATTGAAGAATATTTCATCTGACTGCATATGTTGAGTAATTCACCTATTATGTGTGTTGGAGAGTTAAAGGCAAACCATATGTCAAATTCATCTCATCAGGAGCTTCTTATTTTATAGGGCATCAGGTGCTGTCCTTTTTCTTTCTTAAAACAAATCCTGTTATGTCTCATTCCCCAGGCATAGTGTGATCCTGTATGGTGCTTCCCCATGAATAATAATAAGAATCCCTTTAAAATGAGTAGATCTTTGTGCTCTTTACAACATCTATATTCAGTGTTGAAATTGCCCATTAGGATTATCCTGCTTATTGAAAATTTTAATTTCTTTTTTTTTTAACACATTGACCGTTTCCCACCGAGGCAGGGTGACCCAAAAAGAAAGAAAAATACTTTCATCATCATTCAAAACTTTCACCATCACTCATCCATAATCACTGTCTTTGCAGAGTTGCTCAGACACGACAGTTTAGAAGTCCCTATAAACTGCCAGTATCCCAAAACCCCTCTAATTTTAGATATTCCAGTTAAAATGCCACTGTTGAAGTCAGATATACCTTCCACCCTTTAAAGTTCTATTGGCATTTGTATTCAGACATTCCTTTTTTTTTTTTTTTTTTTTTTTTTCAACAAGTCGGCCGTCTCCCACCGAGGCAGGGTGACCCAAAAAAAAAAAAAAAAGAAAATCCCCAAAAAGACAATACTTTCATCATCATTCAACACTTTCACCACACTCACACATTATCACTGCTTTTGCAGAGGTGCTCAGAATACAACAGTTTAGAAGCATATACGTATAGAGATACACAACATATCCCTCCAAACTGCCAATATCCCAAACCCCTCCTTTAAAGTGCAGGCATTGTACTTCCCATTTCCAGGACTCAAGTCCGACTATATGAAAATAACCGGTTTCCCTGAATCCCTTCACTAAATATTACCCTGCTCACACTCCAACAGATCGTCAGGTCCCAAGTATCATTCGTCTCCATTCACTCCTATCTAACACGCTCATGCACGCTTGCTGGAAGTCCAAGCCCCTCACCCACAAAACCTCCTTTACCCCCTCTTTCCAACCCTTTCGAGGACGACCCCTACCCTCTTTCCTTCCCCTATAGATTTATATGCTTTCCATGTCATTCTACTTTGATCCATTCTCTCTAAATGACCAAACCACCTCAACAACCCCTCTTCTGCCCTCTGACTAATGCTTTTATTAACTCCACACCTTCTCCTAATTTCCACACTCCGAATTTTCTGCATAATATTTACACCACACATTGCCCTTAGACAGGACATCTCCACTGCCTCCAACCGTCTCCTCGCTGCTGCATTTACCACCCAAGCTTCACATCCATATAAGAGTGTTGGTACTACTATACTTTCATACATTCCCTTCTTTGCCTCCATAGATAACGTTTTTTGACTCCACATATACCTCAACGCACCACTCACCTTTTTTCCCTCATCAATTCTATGATTAACCTCATCCTTCATAAATCCATCCGCCGACACGTCAACTCCCAAGTATCTGAAAACATTCACTTCTTCCATACTCCTCCTCCCCAATTTGATATCCAATTTTTCTTTATCTAAATCATTTGATACCCTCATCACCTTACTCTTTTCTATGTTCACTTTCAACTTTCTACCTTTACACACATTCTCAAACTCATCCACTAACCTTTGTAATTTTTCTTTAGAATCTCCCATAAGCACAGTATCATCAGCAAAAAGTAACTGTGTCAATTCCCATTTTGAATTTGATTCCCCATAATTTAATCCCACCCCTCTCCCGAACACCCTAGCATTTACTTCTTTTACAACCCCATCTATAAATATATTAAACAACCATGGTGACATTACACATCCCTGTCTAAGACCTACTTTTACTGGGAAGTATTCTCCCTCTCTTCTACACACCCTAACCTGAGCCTCACTATCCTCATAAAAGCTCTTTACAGCATTTAGTAACTTACCACCTATTCCATATACTTGCAACATCTGCCACATTGCTCCTCTATCCACTCTATCATATGCCTTTTCTAAATCCATAAATGCAATAAAAACTTCCCTACCTTTATCTAAATACTGTTCACATATATGCTTCAATGTAAACACTTGATCTACACATCCCCTACCCACTCTGAAGCCTCCTTGCTCGTCCGCAATTCTACATTCTGTCTTACCTCTAATTCTTTCAATTATAACCCTACCGTATACTTTTCCTGGTATACTCAGTAAACTTATTCCTCTATAATTTTTACAATCTCTTTTGTCCCCTTTCCCTTTATATAAAGGGACTATACATGCTCTCCGCCAATCCCTAGGTACCTTCCCCTCTCATACATTTATTAAACAAAAGTACCAACCACTCCAACACTATATCCCCCCCTGCTTTTAACATTTCTGTCATGATCCCATCAGTTCCAGCTGCTTTACCCCCTTTCATTCTACGTAATGCCTCACGTACCTCCACCACACTTACATTCCGCTCTTCTTCACTCCTAAAAGATGGTATACCTCCCTGGCCAATGCATGAAATTACCGCCTCCCTTTCTTCCTTAACATTTAAAAGTTCCTCAAAATATTCTCGCCATCTACCTAATACCTCCCTCTCCCCATCTACTAACTCCCCTACTCTGTTTTTAACTGACAAATCCATACTTTCCCTAGGCTTTCTTAACTTGTTTAACTCACTCCAAATGTTTTCTTATTTTCATTAAAATTTCTTGACAGTGCCTCTCCCACTCTTTCATCTGCTCTCCTTTTGCACTCTCTCACCACTCTCTTCACCTTTCTTTTACTCTCCATATACTCTGCTCTTCTTATAACACTTCTGCTTTGTAAAAACCTCTCGTAAGCTACTTTTTCTCTTTTATCACACCCTTTACTTCATCATTCCACCAATCACTCCTCTTTCCTCCTGCCCCCACCCTCCTATAACCACAAACTTCTGCCCCACATTCTAATACTGCATTTTTAAAACTATTCCAACCCTCTTCAACCCCCCCACTACTCATCTTTGCACTAGCCCACCTTTCTGCCAATAGTCGCTTATATCTCGCCCGAACTTCCTCCTCCCTTAGTTTATACACTTTCACCTCCCTCTTACTTGTTGTTTCCACCTTCCTCTTTTCCCATCTACCTCTTACTCTAACTGTAGCTACAACTAAATAATGATCCGATATATCAGTTGCCCCTCTATAAACATGTACATCCTGGAGCCTACCCATCAACCTTTTATCCACCAATACATAATCTAACAAACTACTTTCATTACGTGCTACATCATACCTTGTATATTTATTTATCCTCTTTTTCATAAAATATGTATTACTTATTACCAAATTTCTTTCTACACATAGCTCAATTAAAGGCTCCCTATTTACATTTACCCCTGGCACCCCAAAATTACCTACTACTCCCTCCATAACATTTTTACCCACTTTAGCATTGAAATCCCCAACCACCATTACTCTCACACTTGATTCAAAACTCCCCACGCATTCCTTAGCTCCCTTATATCTAGCTGTACAGTACCATCTATTACCTTCCCTAATAATGCTGAGTGATCTACACAAGTTTAGAGCTTCTTTTTAATATAATAACAGTTTTACTAATATGCTTTTTGAATGTTTTAAACATTTTCTATTGTATGCAGTTTTAGTTAATTTTATCATTTTTTAATTCATGTTAGTTAAAATTGGTTGACATGTATATAATAAAATGGAGTGAGATTTGGTTGATGCCTTGCCTCTGTTGGTCCATTATGAAGTGGTTAGTTTTATGTACAGTGTTTTGACACATGGTTCTTGCCATATCATCAAATTGTGGATCTATTGCAGTGCATTATTAAAACTCTACTTGTATATTGCAGGTACGAGATTCTGCCCTAAGCTTAGCTGATGATATGCCAAAGAGTGAAGTCAATAAGGAGTACTATATCCAGAACATGGAAAGAAGTATGGCAGCTTCCTCGGATGGTAGCACACCTGGAGGGGCATTAGGAAAAACTAAGTCTCATTCTGAGATGCTCCTCCGTCTAGCTCGCACAACACCATATTACAAGCGAAATAGGCCACATATTTGTTCCTTTTGGGTCAAAGGTGAATGCAAGAGAGGAGAAGAATGTCCTTATCGACATGAAAAGCCAACTGATCCTGATGATCCTTTAGCAGATCAGAATATTAAGGACCGTTATTACGGTGTTAATGATCCTGTTGCTGATAAACTTCTTAAGAGGGCGGCAGCAATGCCAAGACTAGAGCCTCCAGAAGACAAGTCTATCACTACTCTCTATGTAGGTAATTTGGGTGATAGAATTGGTGAAAAAGAATTGCGAGATCACTTTTACCAGTATGGTGAATTGCGCAGTGTCAATGTTGTAGCCAAACAGCAGTATGCATTTGTACAATTTACTACTCGGTCTGCTGCAGAGCTAGCAGCTGAGCGCACTTTTAACAAACTCATTATACAAGGTCGACGCCTTAATATTAAGTGGGGTCGATCACAAGCTAGACAGGGAGGAGTGGGTATTGGAGGTATTGAGGACATGGAAAGTGATGATACTGCCCCTCAACCTTTGGAACCTGTACCTGGTCTTCCCACACTCCCTCCTCCTCCTGAAGAGCTGCATAACAACTTCTTCAATTTACCTTCTACAGCTGCAAGCATACCATTGCCACCAGGCCAGGCACCTCCAGCTGCTGGGGCTCCAACAATAAGACCTCCCATGCCTCCGGGTCAGGCCCCTCCTAGACCTCCTGCACCCCCTCCTGGCAGTCTTCCTGGAGGGCCGCCGCCTCTGGGCACGCCTCTTGGTCCTCGACCACCAGGTATACCACCAGCACCTCCAGGACATCTGCCACCATTACAGCCCCCTCCGTTCTTCCCTCCTCATCTTCGTGCACCTTTACGTCCCCCTCCAGGGGTTCGTCCCCCTGCTTATTTTCCGCAGCCACCACCAATCCCTGGTGTTGGTCCTCCACCTCCTCTCACCCATGGTATTATTCACTATCCTTCACAAGATCCTACACAAATGGGGGCTAATCCTGATAAAAAATAGTAAATTTTTATCATTTTTTATTTCATAATAAATCTTAGTTTTTATTGTGATGTATAGGTTGTAAATTATAAAAGATTTTTAATGAAGACACTATTACACTATTTGTCAGCAAAACAAATGTGAAGATTGAGTGTGATCTGTATTAGTTTAAGAAATAAAAAATGAAGTAAATTGCAGTACTTGTATATTAATGTTTAAAATGTAAAGATTTGATATTTTTATGTAGTACTGGATTAATTTATGTAATAAAATTATTGCTTTTATAGAGGTCTTTTAAGATTCATTATGGTATTAAGTGTCCCTAAATTGAGGTTCTTATTTTACCTGCATTTTTTTTTTCCTTGAGCTGTGTGACTCGCAGGTATGATACGTTTTTGTGTAAGATGAGCAAGATAGTGCTATGAAGCAGGAAGAAACTTCTATGAATGATCTCTCACTTTAAGAGGTGAAGAGGGAACTTTGATGGGTACCCTTCCTTGGATCAAACTTGATTACCTTCCATTCCTCAGGTGCTGTATGACCCTTAAGGGTTTAGTGCTTCCCCATTAATATAACACTTCACTAATATAAATTCCCTATTTTCTGGTGAAAGATAATACTTGACTGCTGCTACAACCCCACACCAGAACCATATCAACCCTCAAGGGAGGTGAGGGGCTTTTGCTCCAAGGAATTGGACCTGTCCTCCCTTTGGAGCAAGCCTGAATGCTTCTCATTCCCATGTACTTTATGACTCCTCTGCAGTGCTGTATCACAATTATGGGTTTAGCAATTAATTTGATTATACGATTCCTATGGGTTTAGTTGCTGTATAGCCCTTGTGGCTTAGCGCTTCTTTTTGATTATAATAATAATATGGGTTTAGTCCCTCGAGGGAGGTTTCTTGATGCTGGTGAGGGGTTCTTGGGCTAGAGATTTGGATCTGTGCTCCGGTTCCTTGAATTGAGCCTGAATACCTTCCATCCCTTCCACAGGTGCTGTATAATCTTATGGGTTTAGCACTCCCCCATGATTATAATAATCCTGTTTAGCACTAACCTCGATTAAAAATGTTTCTAGATTCAATTTTGGTTCTTCGTACAGTAAAAGTACAAGGAATTACAACTACACTCCTCTTCCTTGGATTTACCATAATTACCTCTATTCCTAGGTACTGTATGACCCTTACAAGTTCAACGTTCATTCTTCAGCAAAAAAAAAAAAAAAAGTAAAAGCTGATTAACTCAGGTGCAGTATGACCTCATGGGTTTAGTGCTTCCCTATTAATATATACTGTAACTGGCAGTGAATACTTTGTGAGCAGCCAATTCTTATCCCACGAAGGAAAAGGCTTGTATTCTAAGCTTATAAAACCCATAAGAGTTCAGTGCATTGTTTCTCTATTATGATTTTTATTTTTGGTATTATCATTAAGGAATTTGAACTACCCTTCTCTGATTCATATCATACCTGATTACCTCCCATTATGCAGGTGGTATCTGCGCTATATGACCCCTATAGGTTTAGCGTTTCTTTCTGATTATAATAATGCAGGTGATATGTGACTCATACCCTCAAGTAAGGTTCTTTGATTCTGGTGATGGGCTCTGGATCTAGGGAATTGCACCTGACTTCCCTGTCCTTGAATCAAACCTGATTACCTTCCATTCCTCAGGTGCTGTATAACCCCCTGTGGGTTTAGTGCTCCCTTCCATCCCCCATGAATGATTATTTCCAGCAGGTCCAGAGCTTTGCCTCTTCCTCTGCCATCCCCTTCATGGGAGGTGATACCTTGATGTTAGTGAAAAGCTCTTGATCTAAGGAACATGTAAAAGACCTGGGAGTAACTATGTTGCCTGACCTTTCTTGCAAAGAACACAGTAAGACCAATGTCACGACAGCCAGGAGGATGACGGGGTGGATAACAAGAACTTTCAAAACAAGGGAAATAGTGCCAATGGTGACGTTTTCAAACTGCTTGTGCTCTCTTGTCTAGAATGTTCAGTGTTGACGGCCCCATTCATGGCAGGAGAGATATCGGAGCTGGAAAGATACAGAGATCATTTATGGCATTCATAGTTACTATGCATGCCATATATATATACGATAATGGTATATACCTGGAAAGTACTTAAGGGTCCTGTCCCAAATCTGCACATTACCATAACATACTGGAGTGAGAGATATGGGAGGAAGTGTAAAATAAACCCAATAAAAAGCAAGGGGCACTGTGGGCATAAGAGAACACTATGAACATCCATGACCTCAGACTGTTCAACATCTTACCAGAAGATATCAGAAACATTGCTGGAACATGTGTAGAAATCTTCAAGAGGAAACTGGACAAGTATCTTGACCAGGTGCCAGATCAACCAGGCTGTGATGGATATGTGGGCCTGGTTAGACCAGGCAGGCACCAGACGAGCCTGGCTCTGGGAGTAGAAAAACATTCGGAACTCATCAAAGGTAATGGTAACCAGGATGCCACCCATAACCCCCTCCCCCTTCCAGGGGCTGTATAACTCATGCAGATTTACCGCTTTCCCTTGATTAATAAAAATAAGAATTCCATATTTGTAATAATGTCACTATTGACGTTATTGGGAATATGTATAATGCCAATAGTGTGACCCTATTATCAATAAATTATTATTATTATTATTATTATTATTATTATTTTATTATTATTATTATTATTATTATTATTATTATTATATTATTGCTCAAATGAGAGTGCATTTAAAAATCAATGTATTTATGTTATCTATGAAATACTTCAATAAAAACTTTAGATATTATTTGCTTTGTTTCTTATTTGTCTCCTTACTCTACTTAAGATAAAATTCCGTTTGGATTTTTAACCCTGGAGGGTTAGCCACCCAGCATAACCCAAGGTAGTGTGTCATCGAGGGACTGTCTGTCTTATTTCCATTGGGGTCCTCAATCTTGTCCCCCAGGATGCGACTCACACCAGTCGACTAACACCCAGGTACCTACTTGCTGCTAGGTGAACAGGACAACTGTTGTAAGGAAATGCATCAAAATGTTTCCACCCTGCCGGGAATCGAACCCGGGTCCTCAGCGTATGAAGTGAAAGCTTTACTTACTTTTACTTATTTTGCTAACTATTTGCTTGCCTACGTTTACCAATTTCATCGACTACTTGCTTACTTTACTTATTTTACCGACTACTTGTTTACTTTAGCAAATTCTTGCTCACTTTATTGACGGCGGTAACAGTGGCTGCCTCACACCACCTTCACTCCACGTTCATCACCATCATTCTCACTACTGACATTCTCTCTCACTGAAATTCTGGCCAGAACTCACCTGAATATTCCCGCTGATATATGCCATGAATATACAAACACCTCGGCCAATCACACAGATTGACAATCGGAAAATAATTTTTCTGTATATTTTTGAGTGTGTCCACAAACTTGTCCTCAGACACCGGGACAATGAATTGTTTCCTAATAGACTTCAAAATTGTCAAAAATTTTGATCTACTAAATATATAATTTATGTACAGTTATATATATATATATATATATATATATATATATATATATATATATATATATATATATATATATATATATATATATAACACACACACAGAGGAATCTAAAATATTATCTCTGCGTTGTATAATATATATTTACATATACAAAAAGGAACAGCTTGTACTGTCATATTTATACACAGATACTGGGACGTAGGGACGACGTTATGGTTCGACTTGGACCATTAACTAGTCACACAGAAGCACGACGGGAAGGGAGCCAGTATATATACGAGAAGAGGAGGATTGAGCCGGGAATGGTAGAACGAGAGGAAGAAGTAGCTCTCCTGAAGTCCTCCTTTTTTTCTCTTCGTTTTTCTTGTTCTTAGGCTACCTCTACAATTACCACTACTACTACTACTACTACTACTACTACTACTACTACTGCTACTGCTGCTGCTGCTGCTACTACTATTGATTTGTAAACACTTCACTCTCTGACTCTTATTTCACAACTACTACTACCTTATTACCACTTCTGCCACTGTTGGATTACTACTACTACTACAATTATGCTACTCCTCTCGTTCTAGTACTCCCGGCCCCGCCGCTCCCTCTCGTATATACACTGGCTTCCTTCCCTTCGTACTTCTCTGTGACTAGTTAATGGTAAAATCGGACCGAAATGGTGTCATAAGTTTTATTCTCGTATGTTTGGGTTATCTGTGTATTGTTCCAGTCACGGTATTGTACCTTTTTATTCTTCAACCATAGATTTATTGTAAGCCCATTTCAAAGAAATATGTATCAAAGTTGGTAGCGTCTAAAATAAATTATATTCAGCATGGAAGCTGGGCAGAGCTGAGAAGATATATGCTCAAAAAAATCTATTATTAATAATTCACTAAAATCTTCGTCCTGGACCATTGCTAAACCACAACTGATTGAGAAAAAGACAGAGAAGGCCAGAAGACAGAACTGGGGTAGAAACTAGAACTAGTAGTAATAGTAATAGTAGTAGTAGTAGTAGTAGTAGTTGTTGTTGTACAACAAGGGTAGTAGTAATGAGAAAGTTGCAGTGGTAATAATAACACAGGTTGTAAATAGTAGTGAAAGAATTAGTAATAGTATACCTGGAGGGTGTTCCGGGAGGTCAACGCCCCCGCGGCTCGGTACATGACCAAGCCCCGTGGTGGATCAGGGTCTGATCTACCAGGATGTTACTGCCGGTAGAAAAACCATATACACCGTCAGATGTATATCTCTCGGTGTATATACTCTACCTCAAATAGGAAAATAGGGAAACCATATACATCATAATGTGCATATCTTGAAAGAAATGATTGGACTGAAAACATCGATTCCAGGCTGAGGGACTAATGAAGTCACTCTGTGGCGAAACGTTTCCTCCTCCAGATGTTGCACATGTGTCTCATTCTTCAATTCCTGAGGGTTAGCCGCTATGTATGATAATCTATGTAACTGTATTTGTGTATACCTGAATAAACTTACACACAGAATACACACTCATAGCATAGACTGTCTTTACAGCTAGCAGAGTAACTTGGGTGTTCTTAACTGTAGCAGACACAGCTAATGCCTGGTTGTCAGAGCCAGGAGGGCCAAACTCTTGATACATGACACACTAATGTTTACGTAATAGCCAGGAAGTAAGAACAGGTCTTGCTCAGACGGCCTAATGAGATTGCATTAAATACACGTGTGTTAGGTCTGAGTCGCCGTAAAAAAATAACACGCGAGCGCATGCACACACACACA